TTTTGTAGGTGTTGTAATGCTGATCTTTTTTTTTTCTATGAGGAGTCAATTGATGGTGTCAGTCATATAATCATTTTTATTGGTCTTCTATTGCTGTCTACAGTTTCTGTGTATCTATTGAAGTTTTCTATCTACTTGGCAACAATGCTAAAATTTGTCAAAAAAAAAATTCTCCATTTAACGGAAACAACAGACACCCAGTTTTTTTTTTATCGGACACCCAGTGATTGCCAAATTATCAAATAAGTTGTAGATACAAACAGACCAAAAAAAGGTGTATAATAGGCAAAATACACAAAAAAGGGTGGTATAAATTATCATTAAAGGGCAATATCTCCAAAAAAGAGTCGACTGAAGATTTCAGCCATGATGGCTTTTTGTAAATCTTGTCTTGCTGATCATTTTTACTGTTAAAGTTTCAATCTATCTATTATAGTTTTCAAGCTAATAGGTAGAAATGGAAAAATTGTGAAAAACAGTCATTAAGGGGCAGTAACTTCAATAAGGAACCAACTAATGGCTTTGGCTGTCTTATTTGTAAATCTTTTCTTGCTGATCATTTTAACTATTTAAAATTTTCAAATAATAGGCAAAATGCAAAAAAAAAATGGGGAATGTGTCAAAGAGACAACAACCCGACCATAGAGCAGACAACAGCCGAAGGCCACCAATGGGTCTTCAATGCAGCGAGAAACTCCCTCACCCGGCGGCGTCCTTCAGCTGGCCCCTAAACAAATATGTATGCTAGTTCAGTGATAATGGACGTCATACTAAACTCCAAATTATACACAAGAAACTAAAATTAAAAATAATACAAGACTAACAAAGGCCAGAGGCTCCTGACTTGGGACAGGCGCAAAAATGCGGCGGGGTTGTCTAACAATGAAAACATAACACTGATCGACTTTTGAACCATGAAAATGAGGTCAAGGTCAGATGAACCTTCCAGACAGACATGTACACCTTATAATCATTCCTGACATCAAATATAATTGACCTGCTACTTATAGTATGTGAGATACGTACATATAAATTATTTGTACAACAAAAGACCACGAAATCACTGATCAATGAAATGAAGTCGAGGTCAGTGAACCCTGTCTGATTCACATGGAGACCTTGCAAGAAACCCATAGACCAAATACAGTTATTCTATTACTCATAATAAGTGAGAAATTCTCATGAAAATAAAAACTATACTGTGTTGTTAAGCAGTTGCTGAACCATGAAAATAAGGTCAAGGACAATGACATTATGACAGACAAAAACTTTATAACATAAAGTATCTGTATACAAGGTGTGAAGCATCCAGGTCATTGTCTCCCTGAAATATAAAGCTTTAAAATAAAACTGTAAGCTGTCTTGGACGTAAGATTGTAATCCCTATGTCTCTGATGAGGTTCCTGTACATGTCTTTGACAGACACATGAAAATTCTTTGGGATAGGGAATTACAATAAATGATAACGCAAGGTTTATAATCAATTGTTAAGTTATAAGATGTCTCTTTAATCATGACACTTAAAGAGGTACTAAAACGCTAAAATCATGTTTGTCTTATTCTAAAGTTCGTAATTAACGTTTAAGAATGCAAAAAACCCAATAAAATTTCATCTTGTAATTATCGAGATATTTGCAAATTACTGTCAGTTTGTCATTTGAACACCTGAATGATTTATTAAAACACGCCACTACAACGCACTACTTATACCCAACGGAAGTGACGCACAGTGGGTCACCCTGATCAAATACGTGTGTAATATCGTATGCAAACAGATCAAGGCTTGCTAAGTAAAATAACAGTTTTGAAATATAACGGTGACAATTATTACATTGAGAATATTGATAACCATTTATCGAGGCTTGATAATCGCATAAATATTTTAATCAAATGTTTATAATTAGAAAAGTATTGAAAAACCAAAAGCACAAATCAACTTTTTTTTCTATTAAATATTAACATGTGCATCCTAAAGCGGCGGTAGAAGCAGAAGTAGAACCGTGCATGTTATTTTCCATGGCTGAAATACGGCATTCAAAATAGGACACTCCCAACACGTGCTTCCAAGAGACGACGGAGTTCGATTTGTTAAATTAAACTTTGTGGGTTTTTCTGAGCTACAAAAAAAATTAAAATTCTCTTTCTTACGACTTTAGTTAGCTACAGCAGCATTTCAAAATTATATAAGTTTATTCTCCATATAATGTGAAGAATTGAGAACTGTCAGTCACAGTAATCTGCTTGACTGGTTTAGCAAAAACCTGAATATGTATTGATCAAGCTATTTCATTAAAAATGAAATACTGGATAGACTTGTAATTTATCTATACGGAGATTTAAAAATCAAACAAAATTTTAAAATGGAAATCAGTATAAGTATATATGATTGTCATAGTCCTTGGACCTTATGTAAAAATATTGCTATATGTGTCATAAATACTAACGTTATATCAGATCCCAGCATCATGAGCATAGTCCTACCTACGGACGAATGTAGGATAGAAAGTCACAGTACAAAAATTCACAATTTAGTTTTTAGTTTTTTTGTTTTTTTTTTAATAAGAAAACATTTGTCAAAATAATTTTTGAATTTTTTCTAGAACTTTTATATATATGGAACCTTTGTAAACAAAATTTATTCTGAAAAAATCAATAATAAAAAATAATTGTAAGATAACAATTTGTCAAAGTGGCTGGGTACTTAAATGGTTTCATTATGAGATAGTGCCAATATATATATCATTTCATGCATAAAATTTGACATCTATTCATTACTCTAGGTTTAAATGAACTATTTCATAAATTGTAAAATGAATATATGCAAGTAACCAAAAAAAATTGTAGAAATTTTTCCTATGTTTTCAAACAAAACTAAACAAATAGATATAAGAAGATGTGGTATGAGTGCCAATGAGACAACTCTCCATCCAAGTCAAAATTTATAAAAGTAAACCATTATAGGTCAAAGTACGGTCTTCAATATGGAGCCTTGGCTCACACTGAACAGCAAGCTATAAAGGGCCCCAAAAATTACAAGTGTAAAACCATTCAAACAGGAAAACCAACAGTGATCATATTGTTTTTCTTTAATTGTTTAACATTTCTTACCAATATAACATGTTACTTTTATTATTCTTCCCTTAGTTTATTTATTTTGTATTTACATTGTGTCATAGGTCAAATTTATTTGTTCAGTGTATGTTCAATGGTGTTAATATGTCCTTTGATTGAGTTAAGCTATTTCAGTTGATATTTTATAGTGTGTCTTTCTATGTTGTGATGTTACACTATTGTTTCAGAAAAAGGGTGAAGGTTTGGTACCATTAAAACGTTTAAACCCGCTGCATTTGTTTGCACCTGTCCTAAGTCAGGAATCTGATGTTCAGTAGTTGTCGTTTGTTGATGTGGTTCATAAGTGTTTCTCGTTTCTCGTTTTTTATATAGATTAGACCGTTGGTTTTCCCGTTTGAATGGTTTTATATTTACTTTTATAAATTTTGACTTGGATGGAGAGTTGTCTCATTGGCACTCATACCACATCTTCTTATATCTATAATCTATATAAAAAACGAGAAAAGAGAAACACTTATGAACCACATCAACAAACGACAACTACTGAACATTAGATTCATGTATATGTGACTTTTGTACTATCAAACTTGTTACTTTCTGTCCTGTAACTTTCAGTACATTTGCCATCACAGGCCTATTTTATATGTAAATATATATTAATTTTTTTTTCATTAGAAAATAAGATATAAAACCTATATCGTAGAAACATAAGAGCAATAGAATTATTAAATAAGTTAAAATATATTTGAGCATTTAAAACTACAACTAACACCATTTATATAAAATCTTTAGAAAAAGGGGTGCACATTCCCAAATTACTTGTGTCCTAAATCCTGAATGTTATGATCACACCAATTTTTTTTTTTAAATGAAAAAAATTATACCATACTGCTTTTAAAATATTGACCTTTTCTTTCATTTGAATTTTAAGCAATGACAAATAAATAACCAAACAAGAAAAATATTAATCCTCTATTACCTTTTGATCCTGATAATTAAAACAGTCCGCACTTCAACACTACTGATAAGTAAAAATCCTGTATACAGTAAGGTAATAAAGATCAAACAGTAGCTATTATCCCTCCACTCAGGTAATTAACAACTTGGCCATGCAGAAATGCCACTTGTTGTTTATAAAGTGATAAACTTTATAGTTTGATAATTAACATTATTTAAAAGGTATAACACATACCCGGTTTTTAACGGGCAATTAATTATTTTTATTACATGGAACAGAAGCCTCTACCGTCATATCTTGTCAAGATGTTATGCAACTTTACGCACATGTAAATATAAACTATATCTTTTCTTGACTCAATATTTTTTTTTTAATAAAAAGATAGATTAATAATATATTGACCGTCAATTTGTCTCAGTTCTACGATCAGGAACAATGTTTTCGGTTGAAAACTCAATGTTGAATTATCCCAACCCCATCCCCCCTTTTTCTGTTGAAACATGTTATAAATACACTTTCCTTCTGAAACATATTTTGTTCCTTTTGACAAATTGGTCATAATGAAGAATGAGCCTTGAATGGGTAGCAAAATTCATTGGCAGTGCTTTAAATCAACGATCAGAAGAAAGTTCATTTATTAAACAACGTTTACATAAGCCGAAGAAGTGATCCACACTGCGTCACTTCCGGTAGATTTGGTTTTAGTGCTGTTTCCGGAAGTAGCATTGATTGGATTTTCCTAAGGTAAAACTGGTTGAACTTTACACGCTATTATCTCTGTAATTAGTGGACCAACCATTGGGTTTTTTGGCATTTTTTATCAATTATTTCGAACTTTTAGATAAGAATTACTTATGTGCGTTTTAGTACCTCTTTAAATATATAAGCTGCCATCTTATGTTTATAACATAATATGTGAGAATAATATTTGTTACAAAGATCATGTTATCTCTATGTTAGAAATACATACCTTATAATCTAATTTGACACTATACTGACATAATATACATCTTTTCTGTTGTTCCTCATATGGATTGATCATATTTGGTACTGGCTATAAAGAATAAAAGTTACATGTAGTATGTTTATGTGATATGTACCAATTGAGTTTTGCTCTTCCTTACTTCATGTATATACATGTTGCAATTTAAACAAGAGTACATAAATGCTGAAAGGACTTGCATGTTTTATTGATTATAACCAAATCTTATGTGAAAGTCTATGAGATCAAGTTCTTACTTCAGGTATCACTAACACTTACCATTTTCACTGAACCATGAAAATAATGTCAAATGAACCCTGTCAATTAGGCATGTTCTCCTTTATACAATCACTCTTTAAAACATATATTGTTGACCTTTAATTTGCTAATATAGTATCAGAAAAACCTATCTTCTTACAAAACCTTAACGTTGACTATATATAGCTACTTAAACATGAAACAAACCCCTGTCTGACAAATGTACTTTATTTTTTATTTAGGAAATGGTATATACATGTACAATAGAAGATATGAATTACACAGCCCTTTTACTTCCGAAATATAAAGTTTTATATAAACTAGAGAAAACTGACATGTCAGCAAGGGCCCCGCTTGCACATATTTATGTATGGCAAAAAGACTGATTCATACATATAAAATCAATTTTCATAAATTTTGACACCAGCAATTTATTCAGGATGTGTTCTCAATTAATATATGTTTAGTTAAAATCCAATCACTATGACATGTATTTTGGTGGGTATTTTGTAAATGCTGGGCAACCAATAATTTTGACACAGAAAATCATTTTGTAAAAGCAAATGATTCCTTTTTCATTTAAATCCTAGCACGAAATATGATTCTCAGAATTTATCATATTTTCAGGAAAAAAACTAAGTTTTTAACAAAATTTTGACTTGAGGAAACAATTTGGAATGCATATTATGCCTCTATTATATATCCATTTTTTATGACATCCTACTATGTAAGAAGAAGATGTTTCTCAAAATTTGTGATTTTTTTCAAACAACTAGAGGCTCTAAAGAGCCTGTGTCGCTCACCTGTATTTACTGATGCTTTGGAAATCATGTAAAAATCATAATTAATAGTATTAGATATTAGATATTATAATGATATCTAAGATAATAACAAAAAACTGCAAAATTTTTGTAAAATTACTAACTCAGGGGCAGCAACCCAACAACGGGTTGTCGGATTCGTCTGAAAATTTCAGAGCAGATAAATCTAAATCTGATGAACATTTTTGCCACCTGTCAGATTTGCTCTAAATGCTATAGTTTCAGAGATATAAACCAACAAAATGCTTCGCTGGGCGCAGCTTGATACGACCGCAGAGGTCGAACCCTGAACAGTTGGGGCAAGTATGGACACAACATTCAAGCTTGATACAGCTCTGAATTTGGATTGTGATTAAATATTTGACACAGCATAGGTTTTTGACACAGAAAGAATGTGGTCTAAGAATTTGAATTTTTTTAATTTACCTATTATGGTCCAATGTCCAAAATCAAAATACATGGTAAGATTCAGCATATCAAAGAACCCCATATATTCAATTTTTGTTGAAATCAAACAAAGTTTAATTTTGGACCCCAACTTGGACCAGCTTGAAAACTGGGCCCATAATCAAAAATCTAAACACATGTTTAGATTCAGCATATCAAAGAACCCCAAGAATTCAATTTTTGTTAAAATCAAACTAAGTTTAATTTTGGACCCTTTGGACCTTAATGTAGACCAATTTAAAAAACAGGACCCAAATTTAAAAATCTAAATACACGGTTAGATTTGGAATATCAAAGAACCCCAATAATTCAATTTTTGATGAAATCAAACAAAGTTTAATTTTGGACCCTTTTGACCTCAATATGAACTAATTTGATAGCGGGGCCCACAAATAAAAAATCTAAATACATGGTTAGATTCAGCATATCAAAGAACCCCATATATTCAATTTTTGTTGAAATCAAACAAAGTTTAATTTTGGACCCCAACTTGGACCAACTTGAAAACTGGGCCCATAATCAAAAATCTAAACACATGTTTAGATTCAGCATATCAAAGAACCCCAAGAATTCAATTTTTGTTAAAATCAAACTAAGTTTAATTTTGGACCCTTTGGACCTTAATGTAGACCAATTTAAAAAATGGGACCCAAAATTAAAAATCTAAAAACACGGTAAGATTTGGCATATCAAAGAACCCCAATAATTCAATTTTTGATGAAATCAAACAAAGTTTAATTTTGGACCCTTTTGACCTCAATATGAACTAATTTGATAGCGGGGCCCACAAATAAAAAATCTAAATACATGGTTAGATTCAGCATATCAAAGAACCCCATATATTCAATTTTTGTTGAAATAAAAAAAAGTTTAATTTTGGACCCCAACTTGGACCAACTTGAAAACTGGGCCCATAATCAAAAATCTAAACACATGTTTAGATTCAGCATATCAAAGAACCCCAAGAATTCAATTTTTGTTAAAATCAAACTAAGTTTAATTTTGGACCCTTTGGACCTTAATGTAAACCAATTTAAAAAATGGGACCCAAAATTAAAAATATAAAAACACGGTAAGATTTGGCATATCAAAGAACCCCAAAAATTTTTGATGAAATCAAACAAAGTTTAATTTTGGACCCTTTTGACCTCAATATGAACCAATTTGAGAGTGGGGCCCACAAATAAAAAATCTAAATACATGGTTAGATTCAGCGTATCAAAGAACCCCATATATTCAATTTTTGTTGAAATCAAACAAAGTTTAATTTTGGACCCCAATTTGGACCAACTTGAAAACTGGGCCAAAAATCTAAAATCTAAATACATGTTTAGATTCAGCATATCAAAGAACCCCATATATTCAATTTTTTTTTAAATCAAACAAAGTTTAATTTTGGACCCCAACTGGGACAAACTTGAAAACTGGGCCCATAATCAAAAATCTAAACACATGTTTAGATTCAGCATATCAAAGAACCTCAAGAATTCAATTTTTGTTGAAATCAAACTAAGTTTAATTTTGGACCCTTTGGACCTTAATGTAGACCAATTTAAAAAACAGGACCCAAAATTAAAAATCTAAATACACGGTTAGATGTGGCATATCAAAGAACCCCAATAATTCAATTTTTGATGAAATCAAACAAAGTTTAATTTTGGACCCTTTTGACCTCAGTATGAACCAATTTGATAGCGGGGCCCACAAATAAAAAATCTTAATACATGGTTAGATTCAGCATATCAAAGAACCCCATATATTCAATTTTTGTTGAAATCAAACAAAGTTTAATTTTGGACCCCAATTTGGACCAACTTGAAAACTGGGCCAAAATCTAAAATCTAAATACATGTTTAGATTCAGCATATCAAAGAACCCCATATATTCAATTTTTGTTAAAATCAAACAAAGTTTAATTTTGGACCCTTTGGACCTTAATGTAGACCAATTTGAAAACTGGACCCAAAATTAAAAATCTAAATACACGGTTAGATTCGGCATAACAAATAAATAAATGTGGTCAAAGATTTTACAAATCTAATGCGCCATACTGTGCAATTAAAGATTACTTCTTGAAATTTTTCAATATTTGAAATTTGAAAAAAAAAATAATATTTGAAGAATAATTCTTTTTAATTTTGAAATCTGAAATGAGAAAAAATTTACCCCCACCACAATTTCTTTTTACCCCCCTCTCCCCTTTTTCCCCCAAAAAATTCTTTCCCTCAAGATATGGTCATAATCTCAATTCAAATTTCCAATGGAGTTTGCAACCATAATTACCCATTTAAATTTACCATAGTGCTAACTTAATCTATTTTATAATAGAATTTAAAATATAGTGTCAAATCTTTCATATGGATTTTTTTGTAAAAAAAAAAGATGCAACATTTGCAGATATTTTTACTGGTCTTCCTTTATAAATATGCATTTCTTTAAACATAATTTAAAAGCAGTGTAAGGGAAGTAACCAAAACGTTGTATTTGGATTACCTCCCTTACACTGTTTCAAATTATCTTAATTGTTCATTAACCATTACTTTATACATAATTTAAAAGCAGTGTAAGGGAGGTAATTTCAATGATGTATTTGAATTATCTCCCTTACACTGCTTTAAATTATGTTTTGTACTAAAGTATTTGTCCATTAACCAGGACAACCTTGTTTTTCCCCCTTTTTTGCCCCTAATTCCTAAACGGTTTGAGCCATAACCCCCCAAAGCAAATCCTAACCATCCCTTTGTGGTATGGAAACTTGTAGTATAATTTCAGAGAGATCCATACACTTATTGTCTGAAAACTAGAAAATGCTTATTTTTGGCCCCTTTTTGGCCCCTAATTCCTTAACTGTTGGTACCATAACCCCCAAAAACAATCCCAACCTTCCTTTTGTGGTATTGAACCTTATGGTAAAATTTCATAGATTTCCATTCACTTTAACTAAAGTTAAAGTGCGAAAACCAATGTGTCTTCGGATGACGACGACGACACCGGACGACGACGACGCCAACGTTATACCAATATACGACCACAAAATTTTTTTGCGGTCGTATAAAAACTGCATTTTACCCCTATGTTCTATTTTTAACCAAGTCAGCCATGATGGTTGGAAGGCGGGGTCATCGGACAAATTTTTTAAACTAGATACCCTAATAATGATTATGGCCAAGTATGGTTAAATTTGTCTCAGTAGTTTCAGAGAAGAAGATTTTTGTAAAAGATTACAAAAATTTACAAAAAATTGTTAAAAATTGACTATTAAGGGCAATAACTCCTAAAGGGGTCAACTGACAATTTTGGTCATGACAACTTATTTGTAGATCTTACTTTGCTGAACATTATTGCTGTTTACAGTTTATCTCTATCTATAATAATATTCAAGATAATAACCAAAAACTGCAAAATTTCTTTAAATTTACCAATCCTGGGGCAGCAACCCAACAACAGATTGTCACATTTGTCTGAAAATTTCAGGGCAGATAGATCTTGACCTGATAATCAGTTTTACTCATGTCAGATTTACTCTAAATGCTTTGGTTTCAGAGATATAAGCCAAAATCTACATTTTACCCCTATGTTCTATTTTTAGCCATGGCGGCCATCTTGGTTGGTTGGCGGGGTCATTGGACACATTTTTTAAAAAAGTATACCCTAATGAGGATTGTGGCCAAGTTTGGTTAAATTTGGCCCAGTGGTTTCAGAGGAGAAGATTTTTGTAAAAAGATAACGACGGAGACGATGGACGACAGACGACAGACGACGGACGCCAAGTGATGAGAAAAGCTCACTTGGCCCTTTGGGCCAGGTGAGCTAAAAAGGAAGTAATTTTATCATTTTTAAAAATTTGTCAATCAATTTGAAATAACTTAAAACACCTTTATAACAGTTATTGTTAAACGCCTATTATAAGAAGACATTTCTCAAAATTTGTTTTTTTCCCAAATTGATGAGCCGAATTTCATTAAAATATAATATGCACAAATACATATTATGCACAACAACTGTGCAAAATTCCATTGGCCTCCTAACTATTCTTTTGGATTTTTTGCGTTTACAAAAGACATTTCCTAAATTAACAAGGGGAATTTCACCAAAATATAATATGCACATCGACACGTTATGCAAAAGCACTTAGCAAAATTTCATTGGCCTCCTACCTATACTTTTTGGAGTTTTCGCACTTACAAAAATTGTTGACAGACAGACTGCAGAGGGACGAAGTGAAAACTATAGGGCTACCACATCATTGCCCACTAAAAATTCCAAAAGTACTACAGTCATCACAAGACAAAACAAGAATTACTATCCTATAAAGATTTTAATTAGTTATGCCAATATTTTTGCATGCAATTTTTATCCTAAATTTCAAAATGGTTGAATAAACCATATGGCACACTCTAAACCAGAGAAGTTCAGGAAAAATATCAACATAATTGATTGATGCAGCAAAGATGAGGTTAAAAAAAAAATCACTTGTTTTCCAATCCTAATAAAACTGTCATATTGTAATGTTTACGTTATTATTTTCAAAATAAAATATTGTTTACACAAAAAAAAAAAAAAAGAAAAAGAAAAAGAAAAAAAAAAGGAATATTTTTAGACATAAACATATAATTTCTTATTACACCCCACACTACTTTGTAGCTAAGTGGTATCTTGGACTAGTATACTAATGGTAATTGAAATCTTATAGGTTTTTCCTTATGATATGGCCTTATAACCTGTCTCCAGGAGATTTTACAAAACTTGCGAGGATTTGGAGAGGAAGATGTCAACGGCAGTGTATATTTATGGAATAATTCTAAACAAGTCAAAAACGTTTATAGTTATTGTAAACCAAATGAAACTTTTCCACAGAGTCATCTCCTCTTGGTCAAGGTATTTAAAATTTTGTGAGTTCTATTGTCCCATTGCATAAATATGATAGCTATTGTTCTCTGTGTAGTTTATTCACTGGGACCTTTAAATTTCTTCAAAGAGAAATCTATCACTCATTGATTAATTTACCTGAATTAAAAAATTATCTAAAAGGACCTAAAAAATATGGCCAACTTTCCCTGAGGGAGTTGAAATCTTAGCCTTGGTAAATGAAGATTTATCAATTTTTTTATCATGCAAAGGATATAATTTTTGCAATTGGCACCATGAAGCCCATTAAGGAACCAAGCTACTTTGACAAATTGTTTTCCTAACAATTATTTGATCATTACTGATTTTTTTTTAGAATAAACTTTTTGTTTACAAATTTGCTTAATATATAAAAGTTCAAGAAAAAGGCAAAAATAAGTGTTTTCTTATTCAAAGAAAAATAATCTCAAAACTGAATTGTGACTTTCTGTTCTACATTGATATATTAGGTGTGAATTATTTGATTACCAGGTAAATTATATTTTGCTCTAATGAGTTTGAATTGACACCGTGTACACAGGAAATAAATAAAAAAACAGATACCTTTGTCGTTAATCAAATGCATAATTATAATCCTAATTTTCTACTTAGAAAACAATTTGTGATATGCATTTAATATTTAATAAAATTATTTATTTTTAAGATTTTTAAAGCAAAAACACTATTTTCTTTAAAATTCAGATCGTAAAAACCACAATTGAGCACTTTTTAAGTGAAAGATCATTTTTTTATTGTTTAATAATAAGAAAATAGAAACAAAAAAGGAAAAAAATTTATAATCGCAATTGCCGTTTTCTCTTTAAAAATAACTTTAGTTTCTGTATAATTGTTTATTTTATCATTTTGGAATTAATTAAATATTTATACATTACTGTTATAAAATACACAAGAAAATTTCCCATCATTATTTTAAAACTTTCAAATTGGTAATGTAGAACTGTATATTATTGTCAATAATAGCGAGTATGCAAACGTAATTAAACACATCTCCGTTTCTGTATCATTTTGGTAATTATTGCGAACCAAATGAAACTTTTCCACAGATTCATCTCCTATTGTTCAATCTAATCAAACTTTTGTCAGTTCTATTGTCCCATTGAATAAATACAATAGATATTGTTCTCTGTGTAGTTTTTTTACTGGGACCTTAAAACTTCTAAGAGAAATCTATCACTCATTGATTAATTTACCTGAGTAAAAAAATTATCTTCTAAAAAATGGAAATACATGTTTTAACTCATAAAACAGCATGTGATGTTGTCTTTATTAAATATTAATAAAAATATATTTTCAATCTGTTCAATATAAACAGTGATTTAATCATAAAAAGTTGATTTCTGACAAATTTTTTAGCATTGTTCCTATTGAAATTGCATTTTTTTTTTTAGTTATAGCATAAATTTAAGAAGGCCTTAACTTAAACATCGTCATTTTCCAGTTTTTATTTGTCAAATACAAAAAAAAAAAAAAAAAATTTAATAGGAACAATGTTTAAAATTTTGTTAGAAATCAACTTTTAATATTTAAATCACTGTTTATATTGAACAGATTGAAAATATATTATTGATATTGAATAAATACAACATCACATTCAATTTTTTGAGTTTACTCAGGTAAATTGATCAATGAGTGATGGATTTCTCTTAGAAGAAATTTAAAGGTCCCAGTGAAAAACTACACAGAGAACAATAGCTATTGTATTTATTCAATGGGACAATAGAACTCACAAAAGTTTAAATAGATTGAACAATAAGAGATGACTCTGTGGAAAAGTTTTATTTGGTTCACAATAAAAGACCTGACAATGTAATCGATGCGATTGTTGAGTGTCAAATCCAGTCAATATGTTATGTCCCAGGGGTATATAGTTTTTGTCGAGCCTGCGACTTCTAAGTGAGACATAGGGATAGTGATCCAGCGGGGGAAGCAGCGTTAACTACTTAAAAGCTTGATATTTCAGAAGGTAGACCTGATTGCTTCATACTTTGTATCGGTATATAGATGCCTTATGTTATGAAGTTTCTGTCTGTCATATGTCCATTGTCCATTGTCCTTGACCTCATTTTAATGGTTCAGTGACTACTTGAAAAATAAGTTAAGAATTTTTCGCAATGTTAATTTCTCTCTTATTATGAGTAATAGAATAACTATATTTGGTATGTGGATACCTAGCAAGCTTGAAGGTCCTCATGCCTTTCAGACAGTGTTCACTTGACCTCAACCTCATTTCATGGATCAGTGAACAAGGTTAAGTTTTCATGGTCAAGTCCATATCTCAGATACTATAAGCAATAAGTCTACTATATTTGGTGTATGGAATGATTGTAAGGTGTAAATGTCCAACTGGCAGGTGTCATCTGACCTTGACCTCATTTTCATGGTTCAGTGGGTAAAGTTAATTTTTTGTGTTTTGGTCTTTTTTTCTAATACTGTATACAATAGGTCAACTTTATTTGGTGGATGGAAATAGTTTACGATATACATGTTAGTCTTGCAGGTTTTATTTGACCTTGACCTCATTTTCATGGTTCATTATTCAATGTTAAGTTTTTGTGTTTTCATCTGTTAAACTATAAGCAATAGGTCAACTATATTTGGTGTATGGAATAATTGCAAGGTACTTATGTCTGTCCAGCAGGTATCATCTGACCTTGACCTCATTTTCATTGTTCATTGGTCAATGTTAAGTTTATTTCTTAGATACTATAAGCATTAAGCAATAGGTCAACTATATTTGATGCATGGAATAATTTCATATTTACTACAACACAAAATATTTTCAAGTGTACATGTTTAATTCTTGTTTTAAAGAGTAATTTTGAATGCTTAAAAATACTGACTGTATTTTACCTGTAATTAATTAATAATTGTTATAACAATATCTATTTGTATTTTGTTAGTAGGCATAGGTTGAATGGTTTACAAATAAAATCTACCTTGTTAAATATAATATAATCAAATCAAATGTTTTTTGTCAAGAAGAAAATTGTTTCACATGGAAAATTATACTTTACCATATTATCACTGTAATCAACCTTTTCTTCTAACTCTTTTAAAGTTTCTTCCAACTTTTCCACTGAAAATGCAGTTTTGGCATCTCTTCTTCTAGAAAATTTTGATGCTTTCTTTACAAAGGAGCTAATTTCTGGAGGTTTAGGTGGACTTTGAGGTTCAAGTGGCGATTGAAGCACATTTGATCCTTGTTTTGCTGCAGAAGAACTATAAAATAACTGCTGCTGTGCAAAACAGGCTTGTGATGTACCTATTAAAAAATATAACACTTATAGGTACCATGTAGACAAATAGTTTTCAACTACATATCATTGAGACGGGAGCCATCTCTGTGGGCCCCGCTGTGAATAATGTGTGGTAAAAAATTTGTATATTTATCATTGGACATGGGGTTGTCAACTGAAACCAAAGTTTATGACCTTGACCTTTGACCTAGGAAGTTGTACATAAATTATGACACACCCTCTGGTGTTGGTTTATATACATGTCAAGTATAAACATTGAAATCATAACGGTTCTCAAGATATAGAGCAGACACGATCTTTACCATAGGACATGGGGTTGTCAACTAAAACCAAAGTTTTTGACCTTGACCTTTGACCTAGGAAGTTGTACATACATTATGACACACCCTCTGGTGTTGGTTTATATACATGTCAAGTATAAACTTTGAAATCATAACGGCTCTCAAGATATAGAGCGGACACGATCTTTACCATAGGACATGGGGTTGTCAACTAAAACCAAAGTTTTTGACCTTGATCTTTGACCTAGGAAGTTGTACATACATTATGACACATCCTCTGGTGTTGGTTTATATACATGTCAAGTATAAACGTTGAAATCATAACGGTTCTCAAGATATAGAGCGGACACGGTCTTTACCATAGGACATGGGGTTGTCAACTAAAACCAAAGTTTTGACCTTGACCTTTGACCTAGGAAGTTGTACATACATTAAGACACACCCTCTGCTGTTGGTTAATATACATGTCAAGTATAAACTTTGAAATCAAAACGGTTCTCTAGATATAGAGCGGACACAATTTGTTAAGGACGGACAGATGGACGGACAGACAGACTGATCACTATACGGCGTCCGCCATTCTGCGGTGCCCTAATTACATAAACTTCAAGTTAAATATCTAGAGATTAAAGAATAAGCACTGCATAAAAAGAACATTTGAAATTTGACTATAAAAGGCCAAAAATCTACATCTACATGCAACATCATCACAACTTGCAAAACAAATCATGAATGGAGAAACATTCTCACACATAAATTTATAAACTATTAATACATGTGAAGCAACATAATTCCCTCTATAAAACAATCATTAAATAACTTTTGAGTTAAAAACAAATTTATCTAATAACAAACTATCAAATTTCTTAGACAAATTATTAGTATCAGATATAGAATTATTTTTCCAATCACATGGGGCAAGAGAACATCTGCCCAATTAAAGACAGAAATAAAAGATAAGTTCCCGGAGGAAGCTGTTGATTTTTAGTTCACCTGGCCTAAAAGGCCATGTCAGTTTTTGCTATCATTTTCAACCAAATTTGACTTAGGGTATTTACTATAAAATATGTGTTTTCATTTAAGTCAGTCAATCAACATGGCTGCCAGTGCTAACAAGTAAAAATAAAATACAACTCAAGATTGGACTTGTGATCATTAAAAAAAAAAATAATTGAAAAAATAGAAAAAAGTAAAATAGTCCCAGGCACTTGTTTCTATCCATGACTCATGAGAAGATCCACTACCAACGTATATTTAGAAACAAGTGCCTGTGAAACTAGTATTAAACTAGAGGCTCTAAAGAGCCTGTGTCGCTCACCTTGGTCTATGTGCATATTAAACTAAGGGCACAGATGGATTCATGACAAAATTGTGTTTTGGTGATGGTGATGTGTTTGTAGATCATACTTTACTGAACATTCTTGCTGCATACAATTATCTCTATCTATAATGAACTTGGCCCAGTAGTTACAGTGGAAAATATTTTGTAAAAATTTACAAAAATTTACAAAATTTATGAAAATTGTAAAAAATTGACTATAAAGGGCAATAACTCCTTAAGGGGTCAATTGACAATTTTGGTCGTGTTGACTTATTTGTAGATCTTACTTTGCTGTACATTATTGCTGTTTACAGTTTATCTCTATCTATAATAATATTCAAGATAATAACCAAAAGCTGCAAAATTTTCTTAAAATTACCAATTCAGGGGCAGCAACCCAACAACATGTTGCCTGATTAAAAACACCCGATCCCGGAGTCTTGATAAAGGTCCGACCCCCCCTCTTCAATGACAGTGTTAACACCATTTGACCTAGAACTCCAGTCAACAGGTGCAACTTATTCATAAAAAACAACTCAAGATTGGTCTTGTGATCATTAAAAAAAAAAAATAATTGAAAATTGAAAAAAGTAAAATAGTCCCAGGCACTTGTTTCTATCCATGACTCATGAGAAGATCCACTACCAACGTATATTTAGAAACAAGTGCCTGTAAAACTAGTATTAAACTAGAGGCTCTAAAGAGCCTGTGTCGCTCACCTTGGTCTATGTGCATATTAAACTAAGGACACAGATGGATTCATGACAAAATTGTGTTTTGGTGATTGTGATGTGTTTGTAGATCATACTTTACTGAACATTCTTGCTGCATACAATTATCTGTATCTATAATGAACTTGGCCCAGTAGTTACAGTGGAAAATATTTTGTAAAAATTTACAAAAATTTACAAAATTTATGAAAATTGTAAAAAATTGACTATACAGGGCAATAACTCCTTAAGGGGTCAATTGACAATTTTGGTCGTGTTGACTTATTTGTAGATCTTACTTTGCTGTACATTATTGCTGTTTACAGTTTATCTCTATCTATAATAATATTCAAGATAATAACCAAAAGCTGCAAAATTTTCTTAAAATTACCAATTCAGGGGCAGCAACCCAACAACATGTTGCCTGATTAAAAACACCCGATCCCGGAGTCTTGATAAAGGTCCGACCCCCCCTCTTCAATGACAGTGTTAACACCATTTGACCTAGAACTCCAGTCAACAGGTGCAACTTATTCATAAAAAACAACTCAAGATTGGTCTTGTGATCATTAAAAAAAAAATAATTGAAAAAATAGAAAAAAGTAAAATAGTCCCAGGCACTTGTTTCTATCCATGACTCATGAGAAGATCCACTACCAACGTATATTTAGAAACAAGTGCCTGTGAAACTAGTATTAAACTAGAGGCTCTAAAGAGCCTGTGTCGCTCACCTTGGTCTATGTGCATATTAAACTAAGGACACAGATGGATTCATGACAAAATTGTGTTTTGGTGATTGTGATGTGTTTGTAGATCATACTTTACTGAACATTCTTGCTGCATACAATTATCTCTATCTATAATGAACTTGGCCCAGTAGTTACAGTGGAAAATATTTTGTAAAAATTTACAAAAATTTACAAAATTTATGAAAATTGTAAAAAATTGACTATACAGGGCAATAACTCCTTAAGGGGTCAATTGACAATTTTGGTCGTGTTGACTTATTTGTAGATCTTACTTTGCTGTACATTATTGCTGCTTACAGTTTATCTCTATCTATAATAATATTCAAGATAATAACCAAAAGCTGCAAAATTTTCTTAAAATTACCAATTCAGGGGCAGCAACCCAACAACATGTTGCCTGATTAAAAACACCCGATCCCGGAGTCTTGATAAAGGTCCGACCCCCCCTCTTCAATGACAGTGTTAACACCATTTGACCTAGAACTCCAGTCAACAGGTGCAACTTATTCATAAAAAACAACTCAAGATTGGTCTTGTGATCATTAAAAAAAAAAAATAATTGAAAATTGAAAAAAGTAAAATAGTCCCAGGCACTTGTTTCTATCCATGACTCATGAGAAGATCCACTACCAACGTATATTTAGAAACAAGTGCCTGTAAAACTAGTATTAAACGAGAGGCTCTAAAGAGCCTGTGTCGCTCACCTTGGTCTATGTGCATATTAAACTAAGGACACAGATGGATTCATGACAAAATTGTGTTTTGGTGATTGTGATGTGTTTGTAGATCATACTTTACTGAACATTCTTGCTGCATACAATTATCTCTATCTATAATGAACTTGGCCCAGTAGTTACAGTGGAAAATATTTTGTAAAAATTTACAAAAATTTACAAAATTTATGAAAATTGTAAAAAATTGACTATACAGGGCAATAACTCCTTAAGGGGTCAATTGACAATTTTGGTCGTGTTGACTTATTTGTAGATCTTACTTTGCTGTACATTATTGCTGTTTACAGTTTATCTCTATCTATAATAATATTCAAGATAATAACCAAAAGCTGCAAAATTTTCTTAAAATTACCAATTCAGGGGCAGCAACCCAACAACGTGTTGCCTGATTGGTCTGAAAATATCAAGGCAGATAGATCTTGACCTAATGAACAATTTTACCACATGTCAGATTTACTCTAAATGCTTTGGTTTCAGAGATATGAGCCAAAAACTGCATTTTACCCTATGTACTATTTTTTAGCAAAGTCGGCCATCTTGGTATGGGGCGAGGTCATCGGACACATTTTTAAAACTAGATACCCTAATGATGATTGTGGACAAGTTTGGTTAAATTTGTCTTAGTAGTTTCAAAGGAGAAGATTTTTGTAAAAGATAACAAAAATTTACGAAAAATGGTTAAAAATTGACTATAAAGGGCAATAACTCCTTAAGGGGTCAACTGACCATTTTGGTCAAGTTGACTTATTTGTAGATCTTACTTTGCTGAACATTATTGCTGTTTACAGTTTATCTCTATCTATAATAATATTCAAGATAATAACCAAAAACGGCAAAATTTCCTTAAAATTACCAATTCAGGGGCAGCAACCCAACAACAGGTTGTCAGATTCATCTGAAAATTTCAGGGCAGATAGATCTTGACCTGATTAACAATTTTACCCTATGTCAGATTTGCTCTTTATGCTTTGGTTTCAGAGATATAAGCCAAAATCTACATTTTACCCCTATGTTCTATTTTTAGCCATGGCGGCCATCTTGGTTGGTTGGCCGGGTCACCGGACACATTTTTTAAACTAGATACCCCAATGATGATTGTGGCCAAGTTTGGTCAAATTTGGCCCAGTAGTTTCAGAGGAGAAGATTTTTGTAAAAGTTTACGGACGACGGACGCAGGACGCAGGACGCTGGACGCAGGACGACGGACGACGGACGCCAAGTGATGAGAAAGGCTCACTTGGCCCTTCGGGCCAGGTGAGCTAAAAAGCAAATGAAGATCAGGAAATAAATGCCATATAGAATTCGGTCTAGGTCTATATAGTTATGTTTACCTAATTGAATTTTAAATATATTCCAATTCAATACTTTGTTGGAAATTCCAATAGACTTTATACATTCTATTGAAAAAAATTTCCACATGTCGATGTTGACTATCTTCGAAGCTATGTTATTTTTAAGCTATATGTATGCATTTAAATTTTCTCATTTGAAAGGGCATAATAGATGTAGATTAAAACTCGTTCGAGACATTTCGTAGTTTTTCTTTCATTTAAGTAAGTCTCTGATTATTGGTCCGAATGGATTATTTACAAATGGCTGATGTTACTTGACAACTTTCTTGTCTTCTTGTTCTTCGGGTGTACATTTTGCTCTAGAATCTCTATAAGCATACTACACTACACGGTTTCCTTAATCACATGTAGGTTAAACAAATGTAAAGTTTTATTGTGGAAAAGAATATATGAGGAAGGGGTTTCCTGTACTTGTAGCCCTACTTGTCAGTTGGTGAGTTACCAGTTTCCTTCACCTGTCAATATTTATTCAATAATGGAAGTGCTAGCGTTGTGTAAAAACGACTGAATGCTGATATCTTGTAAGAACTTGGTTTTGTTTGATCCTTTATAGATAGGGAAATGCAGAACTTTCTGTAAATTGAAAGCCTTGCCTCTTTCAGGGAAGTGGTAAGAAGATACAAGACATTTTGGCACTTCGTTCTACACAGTCTATATTAGGGAGCTACCATTTGATTTTTATGGGGGGGCTAGGATGAAAAAATTTGTCCTGCCTTTTTATTTTTCCCTCTTTTCGGTCCTGCTTTTTTTTTTTTTAGTTTATCCTGACTTTTTTTTACATAAATTGTCATCCTGCCTTTTTTTGTGGCAAATAATTTCCTGCCTTTTTTTTTACTCAAAACTCCTGTCCTGCCTATTTTTTTCAAATTTCATCCTAGCCCCCCCATAAAAATCAAATGGTAGCTCCCTTACATTGACAAATGTTATTTAATAACTAATGCACTGGTCATGGAACACTGGATCATATACATTGAAGATTGAAGAAGTACAAGCTAACTTGGTTGCCTTTATTACACTTGACTCTGTATTTAACAGTTTAAGTAATCCTGATCCGGACAACAGTTTGTGTAGTTGTTAATCTTAATGCTGAGGAGGCTGTGAATTATCTTTTGAGTCAATGTTTCTCTGCTATCAGTTTGGATGTTCTTGAGCATGCTGAAGGTCCATTAATGTCTGCATTGGAGTGTGAAATACAGTGAGCATTTCTTTGCTGAGGTGAAAGTTTATTAAATGTTTTTTGGCATCAAAACCTTCTGATAGATGTTTTGTCAATATTTCAATTTTCTATCAATGCCGGTATTTACCTTTAATCATCATTGGTGTGTGCCATAAACAGAAGCCATATTGAGTAATTAATATCCTATCAATGTTGATTGTTCAATCAAACTATTATCTCTTGTTAATTATATGAGCCTTAGGCCAGGGTCAAAATCAACATGTTGCATGTTACACTGGATACGTTCAATACACTCATGCAGGTTTTTACGTTTTCAATAATAGATGTTTGTAAACAGCATAGTAAAAAATGGTGTCTGAAATTTTCCATTCATGATATTTTTTATACACAGGATTTTTTTCTCCTCAATGGGAGGACGGGAGCTTGAGGAGACCCCTGAAAACGGGATTATTGTACTCCCGTTGGGAGATTCACATCATGAAATGTATGAAACAAAATATTTTATTAAATAAAAAAAATTGTTATAAAACATTCTTCAATGCTAAAACTCGGACCTGACATTCCTGAACAGGGAAATAAAAACCCGAAAGAGTCTGAAATTCTACTGTCAGACTTATTCAAAACCAATATTTTTTTTTCAATGGGTTTTTGTTGAAGTTAAGAATTTATTAAATGAAAAGACAAAATTTTATGAAGGATTAAAAAAAACAATGAAAAATATTTTGTGTGTGCCACAACTTGGACCTTAAGGGGAATGAAAAGACCCGAAAAATATGTGTACTCTGTAGAATTATTCATACTAACTTCAATAACTTTTTTTAGTCAATTTCAATTTCCTTTCAATTTGGAATACGTGGACATGCATAGGCCTGAAAATATTATGGTTACCTTATTTTATTCATGTTAGCTTTCCAAACATTAATATAATTTTCATTAAAGCAGAAATGAAAGTTATTTGTGATAAACAAGTTTGTTTTTCAAGGATTTGTTTATGCATGTTTTATTGATTAGCACATTTAAGGTAGCAATACAGTTAGGAAAAAACTTAAAAATTGACACTCATAATATTTAACCAGCCTCTTTCTCTTGCTTTCTAACAAATAAGGCTTAATGTTTATGTTATGTATGTGCATATGTATGGAAACAGAATTTTCCATAGATTTGATTTCCAATAGTTAAAATGGTGAAATACATGTATAATCTCTTTTTGGTGTAACCATAGCAACAATCTGCATTTATTTGATACAAAATATTGTAAAAAGGGGATGAAAATGTCTCAAAAGTCATCAAGATTTGATCCAAAGAAGAATTTCAATCCATTCGAGTGATACCTTTTCTGAAACCATTGACATTTATCTATCAATGAAAAGTTCCGGGGTCAAATATTTGTTGAAAAAACACTACAATAATTTCTGAACCTATGGTCGGTACAGATGTGAAAATACAGACTGTCTAACAGAAAAATGGCCTATAAAACATGCAAAAAACAATCTTGATGTTCATATAAACCAGCTTTGATGGCTATATTATTCTTCAGCTATCTAAAAATCAATTTTATTGCACAAAAGCTTTCATATTTAAAAATTTACTGTGGCCAAAATGTGAAACTAACTGTGTATTGCTACCTAAATTGTAACAGCTAAAACACTGTTTAAGCCCTGTAACTGGATTAACTAATAATTCGATTAAAAGATTAAAATGAAATGCTTGTTGTGGTAAAAACAATGCATGATGATCTTATTATCACCTGATATAAGGTGTGTATTACAGCTGACACACGTGCATGTCAAACTTTCAATTTATACATTTCAGAATAATGAACACAATTCCAATATATTTATATATTTATCATATTGTATTTCTAGATCAGGAGTCCCCTGGTTAAAAAAATATCTGTTTTATAGAAGTTTATATAAATAAAATTAAACAAGTTATTGAAGATTGGAAAGTCTGACCATAGAATTTTAGGTTTTTCATATTTTTTCCTTTTTCGTATTCAGGTCCGAGTTTTGGCATAAAAAAGATCTGCCATCAACACCCACTTCTCCAAATAACAATTGAATAAAAAACATTAGATAACTACTTTATGAAATACTTCATACAAGAATTTATATAATATCTAAATGTCTATTGTCTATAACAATGACATAAACAGTGCAGGAAATGGCATTTGCATGGTTTATGTCCAAACATTTGCCACGACTGACCCAAATAATTTCACAGGTATGAGGATATTTAAAAAAAATATGCCATACTGAATATACTAACTTACACTAACTTAGTGTATTTAGTTTATAGATATAAGAAGATGTGGTATGAGTGCCAATGAGACAACTTTCCATCCAAGTCAAAATTTATAAAAGTAAACCATTATTGGTCAAAGTACGGTCTTCAACACAGAGTCTTGGCTCACACCGAACAGCAAGCTATAAAGGGCCCCCAAAATTACTAGTGTAAAACCATTCAAACGGGAAAACCAACGGTCTAATCTATTTAAAAAATGAGAAACGAGAAACACTTATGAACCACATCAACAAACGACAACTACTGAACATCAGATTCCTGACTTATACATATATTTTTTTTAAATCTCGTCTCATACCTGTGAATAATTTCACAAAACTTCCAAATCAAGGACATTTATGAAATTAAGAAAACCTACATCAGTATCAGGTCATACATTTTGTTGTTTATGATAAGATCTTAAAACTCCAAAACAAAATTAAATAAACAAAGAAGCTTTATTTTGTTTTTATGAGGTGCTGATGTGTCTTTTATTCGGGTGCCAAAATGCCTTTCACAGTGCAGAATTGTCCTAGTGCTGATTTTCTCCCAGTGTCAAATTCCAGGGAAGTTACACGTGTTGGGACATGACATTATCACTCTTAGATGTCCTGACAGTAGCTGGTAACAATTTTATACAGATTTTTTCGCTTTTCATTTTTGGAATGCGTAGTCATACTAGTATCATAATACTTAAAATTCCTTTAGACATGTCTATGGTATTGTGACCAAAATGCCCGTACACCTCACATTTTCGGACAATCTTAAAAAAGAAGGGATATGAAGGCCTGTTTTTGGTCTAATAAGTAAAAGTTTTTGCACATACATGTAATGTTTGGAAGGTCAAGAATTTATCATATTCATGTCCACAGTTGTTTGCCCTTTTGTTGGGTGCTAAGTTTATACATTAACTTATTCAAGGTATCCAATATCTCTATTGAATGTAAGCAATTGCACTTTTAAGTCCAGCATGTAATGTCTTACTGTGTGCATCAGTGATGATTAACAACATAAAAATGTGATGTATTGGCAACAAGAAAGAATAATCTGTATTCTCCTTGACAGGTGTGTTATGCATTTCCTGGTACATTGTAGTAATCTATTCACAAAGATAGTAGCCACACTGCATAAGGATACATTTAACTTTAACACAGTTCTTAACATTCTGTTCCATCACATCACAACTACATTTATTTTGCCTTCATGGATTGCTAACTATCTGTTTTGGTTTTGTATTTTATCATCTTTATAAAACACGTCATAAACAGAACGCTTGAACTAAAAGTTCAAATTTCAATAAAAAAATTGGGCAGAGTTGAGCCCTTAATTGCACCCTGTCTTTTTTTTCATGATGTATAAATACACAGCCACATTGATCTAGTGTGAAATTAGTTGTTAAATGAGATGCCTGATGTGGGGTAAGTGTCTCACTCACTGCACATTAGAGAAGACTGTCAACCACTCTTTGAGTAGTCTTGTATCTAGATTGCTCATGGACAATGAGGAAGGCATCAAACCAAAAATTTGAATAGGCTCTAAAGACGGCTTTTGAATTCATGCATTTTCCTGTATATTTCTGATGTTACAATGCATAAGCTATTATATCACAGTAATAGTTTAATGTTTTAAAGATGTCATTTACGCCAATTGATCTCAGGTCAACTGGCCTAACTCATTCATAAATAACTGAAAAGTTTCATTTGGCACAGGCATAATTTAGATGATACATTTCTGTTGTAAATTTTCATTTTATGATTTAAAATAGGATTAATGCAAACCTAACCTTTAAAGTGCAGATTTTTGTGGTTCTGTTTACTTTTACTTGAATGCTGAGTGGTCATGACTATTTTCCCTTTAAAGTATGTACATGCTATATATTTACAGTATCAATATAAAAATAATGAGATTTGGTATGATTACAATTGAGATAATTATCCACTAATTCCCAAAGGAAGAGGAGGTTAACAACTAAAGGTTACCAGATAGCTTTCAACAATGATCAAAATCAAAACTATAAAGACTGAAGCATTACAAAATTTGAAACAATTCAAAAGAGAAAACCTACACCCTGATTTTTGCTAAAACATTAAACGAAAAAAGAATTTGACATACAGCAAGTCAGTAACCAATGACAACCACTGAATTACAAGCTTGGGAAAGGCACATAAGAATTCTAGGGAGTTTGTGATTTCACAACCCTTTTCATGTTATCTACAAAAGAATAAAAAAAAAAGTATCATTGAAAAAAATGTAGGAAAAGTAAAATACATAATATTATGAATTCATACAAATAAATTCCTGTCATCATGATCTGTCTTACAGAAATGTCAAAATTCTTAAATGACAGCCTTTGATAACTATTTACACAACTGGGTCGATGCCACAGCTGGTGGATGTTTCGTCCCCGAGGGTATCAACAGCCCAGTAGTCAACACTTCGGTATTGACATGAATATCAATTATATGGTCATTTTTATAAATTTACTGTTTGCAAAAGTATGAATTATTCGAAATATTAAGGATTTTGTTATCCAAGGCATAGATTACCTTAGCCATATTTGGCACAACTTTTTGGAATTTTTGGTCCTCAATGCTCTTCAAATTTGTACTTGTTTTGGCTTTCAAACTTTTTTGATCTGAGCATCACTGATGAGTCTTATGTAGACGAAACGCACGTCTGGCGTTTAAAATTATAAGCCTGGTACCTTTGATAACTATTTATTAATGGTTTTTAACACTACAGCCATGTACTACAACATTTGAATCACTATGATCTACATTTGTACATTTCATTTTTGAATTTGACTCTTGAGTGACTATGAAAAGTTTCATATTTTGGTCCTTTCTCTGCAACAAATTAGTAATACATGTTTCAATTCTCAATTTTATTATCAACGAAGTTTTACTACTAGTGACTACAATCCTCTTGTATATCAACATTGTGGGTATTAAGAAAATTTGAAACTAAATTTGCATTGAGGTTCATATCTGAAAACCTTATGTGATTAATCAATAATATTTCAACATCAAACTCAAAGACCTATTGGATGATACATAAAAGGATATTTTAATATTTTTGGCTATTTTAGCATACATGTAGGATTTTAGGACAGGGTATCCAGATACTGATCCAGGATTTGAGATAAGTGGGGGAGTGACCCTTACAAAAATTATATTTTTTTTCCATTTAAGATGTGTGTGCACTTGGTGCGCCACCCCTGCTGGAATCCATCGCTGGGTATCTGTGATTTTTTTAACTTAATGTATATTTATGAAAGGCCTGTCCTTTATTATTACACAGTTATTTACTTTCAGGAGCTATGGATCCAGTTTCCTTAGATAGCATTATGATTACTGAAGATTGTGATGGTGATGGATTTGATTTAAATATTGTTGATCCACCAGGGGAATTCAAATCGCATGATAATGATGAAATTAACATTTTTCAAAATTTAAATGATGTTCCAATAGAATCATCTATTGAAGAAAAGTCAGACCTGAATAATGGTGAAAGCATAGAGGTAGAAAATAATGATACTCATATTACTTTGGATACTGACAGTGTTGGTAAAGATAACATTGTTGATTTGCTTGGTTTTCATGATGGTGATGGTACATTTAAAGACATCAAATCTTTTGGAGAAACAACATTTGAAATTTCAACTCCAATAAATGTTGAAACATCAATTCAAGTTGATGAAGGAAACTCAACACAAGCTTATACAGAGATATTAAGGCAGTCTGACTTAAATAAAGAAAATAACAAAAAAATAAAAACAGCAGATGAAAATACTACTGAGAGAAAAGACACCTCAGTTGATAAGGCTAAGCAAATTATTCATCTAGGTGAAAAGATAATATTTACCACAGAAGATGATTTAGATATGATTAATGTGACTCAACAAGACTCTTCAGATGTAAAAATTGTAAGTATATTTTTTATTCACTTTAATATGAAGGAACTAAGGCACATAGTATATAGATATAAGAAGATGTGGTATGAGTGCCAATGAGACAACTCTCCATCCAAGTCAAAATTTATAAAAGTAAACCATTTCTGTCACCATTTCTGCCAAACATGTCTGTCACATTAAACAATTGAGGTCTCCACCAACATGTTTTGACAAACTGGAAATTTTCAAAGCATTTGTATTTAAAAAATCAAATTTATGCACTTTTCAGTGGTCAAACCAATTTTTACAAAAACTCAGGTAAAGAACATATGGCTAATGCCACATACTGTACATTATCTGCTGACCCACTGATGGTTGCATGATAATATTATAAGTTATTTATTTTGAAGATGTCTTTTCAGAACAATACCGAGAATGCACTCTTTAGTGAATACTGATATTTTTATTTAGTATGTTGATTTTGTGAAAGACTGTTTCTATCCTTCTGTAATTTGTATATTACTTTACTTTTTTGATTTAAGGAGGAAGACTTACAGGAGGAGACCTCATTTCCAGATATGGGAATGCAAAGGATAAGACAAGATAGCTCCTCTGGCTCTGAATTTGATTTTGAACTCCCTCCTGTCAAGATGAAAATAGATGGCACAGGAACAGAAACTGATACAACAAAACCATCAATCAAGGAAATCAAATCAGAACAAAAGACAGTAGTCATGGGAACATCTCAAACAAGTGTATCAACAACAGAAATTTCCTCCACTGTTCATAGCATAACAGCAACTGCAAAGAAAATAATAGAATATAAGGAGGAGGTAATTTTGAATGGTTCTTCATATTTAAAAAAATGTAAAATACATGTATCCTCGATGATTGGAAGTTCGTCACCCTAACTTTAAACGGAAGAAAATATTCACAACCTTGGAGCAAATATTATCCACTGTGAATGTAAATATGCTTTACTTATTTGCAAACAGTCTGATACACTTAATTGATAAATAGCTTCAGAAACATGGTCAATCTGTCTATGTTTCGTATTGTGACCAGATTCCGTAAAATAAGTAGACATGCTTGTAAGTTCATGACCTTTGTCTTGGACGGTGGCTTTTGCGCATGTGCAACAATATATAGTTCAGGTCTATAGTATTATGTATTTGAACATTACAGAATAAATTTGAGATCAAATAACAAATGAATATCTCGAAAAAAAAAAGAGAAATTGGAATATACTAACTTTTTTATTCTCCCTACAACAATTATTCTAATTTTTACACGTGACTTTCAATGGTCAATTGGGAAGTCCAGAATTAAACACTTTAGACATGTTTAAGATAACTATAACGATGTCACAATGTCATTAATGCATCAAAGTATTTTTTCATTCAATTTGCATTAAATGGCATAGGATTAAATTACTTTTACGAGCCAATGTTCGGCAGGTTTGGTTTTATCAAAATATATCAAATCCTGTTCTGATCTTAAAAACTCATCTCACATACAGACTTTATAAAAATAATACTCTTGGCCTTAAAAAAGGGAAAAGAGCGCCACATAACCTAAAAATAGATTATGACTCATTGTTAAGATGTCAATGACATTGCTGAAAGGATTTTCCCAAGAATTCAACGAAATTCTAGGAGAGGAATAAACAGTAATAGTGGAAATAGACGTTTTAACAAATAATATGCAAGAACATACACAACTTCTCTTTTTCAAGCCGATATTAGTGAAAATGCAATGAAAAATTACCGGTTAAGTTTTTTTGAAGTAGCATGTTGCCGATGATAAATAATTATGCATGACGTCACGAATAAAGTGGAAATCCCCAAATATCACGAACTTGCAAGCATAACGAACTTGCAATCATCGACGATTTACAATTAATTTATTCTTTTTTAAATTACTACAATGTATCAAAAAAGTAGTACATTGTATAATACAAAATAATTCTTTTTTATGATATGAGACATTGAGAACAGCATAAAAAGATTACAGTACTTCTAAGAGTGAAGATGAATCATGGAACAGGTTAATACACATCTGTGCTAGCGAAGGGTTACGATCCAGCTCCTTCCTCTTCACCTTTGCAAATTAGGACAGAATTTACAGCGTTGTGCCATCTAGGGACAGATCAATGTCACACCCACTACGACTACATCATTTTTAACAAATGAAAGTATTTGTACTATATTTACTTTGAAGATGTTATGATGACTGTGTCCAGTGTTTACAAAATTTGTGAAGCTATATACATTAACATTTCCAAAATTTGAGAGGAATATACCCAAGAACTTCAATTAGGTGATTAAAAACTTTAAAAGTATCCCATCATATATGTTAAGGGGGTTAAGACTTTTTCACAATCTGCATGTGGCAATTGTTTATTTATATTTTTTACATTTACACATGATCATCTTAAAGGCACTTTAGATTGGATGAGGCAGTTAAAACTGCGACCAATGGAAATAATTACCTTGTTAAATTCTTGCTTATTCTGACAAGTGTGAAGAGGAGGGGACAAGATTGATACCCTTGATGAGAAAAGGTTTTTGATATATGATCATATATTGCTGCATATACACATCATCTGAACATTTATACACGAATAGTATACTTTCTAGTAAAGTATTATGAAAAATGTATATTATATTAAAATAGTAGGTAGCAGGACATCAACCCATAAAACCAGTTAACTCCATGGATATTTTGTCTGCAATCAAATATTTAAAAGATCAGGCCATACAAGAATAAGATCAAAGCTTTAAAGATACCAGTTCTTTGTCACAGCAGCTATTGGTAGACTGAAATTTTGGGTAAAATTTTGGTATCCAAATGTTTTAGCCATAAGCCTAACTTTTACCAAATTTGATTGTGTAATGGCCCATACAATGATAAAGATCTTTATTAATTTTGAGAACACTATGTCAAAGATCATGGTTGCTGCAGAAAATGATTATATACTTAAATTTAGGGCAAACACTTAATTTCCAGATGTTTGAACTATACATCCAACTTTCACTAAATTTGGTTTTTGGAGAGCAAATGGGATGGACAATATTCCTAACGATTTTTGAGTCAATGCTTCAAAGGTCAAGGTCACAACAGTTATTAAAGACTAAAATAGGTAATATTTTGGTTTAAATGGTATCTTTTGAACCACATGTCTAACTTTTTTAAGTTTGTTTTTTAATGCTACAGGGGTTAAGGAATACCCCTATCAATATTGAGGTCAAAAGGTTAAAGGTCAAGGTCACAGCAGCTATCGTTTACTGAAATTTGAGCATAATTTTGTTTTCCAGATATTATTTTCTGAACTTTCAAACTTGTCCCTGTGGATACCAAATATTTTAATAGTTATTATTATGGTAAAATTCTTGGTGATAAAGAAAACAAAAATATCAAAAAGCTTTGCATTATTATCAGAACTTGACAACAGGAAATCAGGAATCCCTAGGCATCTAGGGGATAATATAAATAACAATAATTTCTAATTATTTTGATTATAGTAATGTTCATTTGATAAACCTCATGAGGAATCAATATTGCCACTTCACAAATTATGTAAACACCTTACAATGCTTCTTTTTCTAATTTACATGCTCAATGACTCGTTTCTAATTCAGTTCTTGTACTAAAGTGCCTTTTTCAATTTGGTTTATACCCTTGAAGGGCCCCTTTCTAGACTGGCATCCCCTTTCTAATACGGACTACAACACTGCATATCATTTTAACCTTTGACTGAAAGATCATGTGATATTTTTCTATATATGACCAATCAAGAACTTGTCTTCTTTTGACAAGACATACTTGGCTTGGTATGGCAAAAAACCTCAAAGTCAAATTATCATTTTTGAGAAAGTCAGCCTGTCTGTGTCAGAATTGCTAACTTCTGACATAAAATTTTAATATTTGGCATGCATATGAAAATGTGTTTCATACCATAATACATTAAAAGAACTAGAAATGTAAAATTGAATGCTGATAATCAGTTCAATGTTAGAATTTCTATCTATTCATTTTTCTTATATTTAGTGCAGTTCTAATGACTTTTCTCATGCAAGCTCTCAAAAGAAAGCTGCTGAAGATTGGGAAAATGTACAGACAATAGAACCAGGTACTGATTATTTAAATAAAGGTATAAGTATGATGATGTTGAGACATTAACCTACATGTAATACAGATGAGTCTGATCTTATGTTTATTCAATGAACAAGATAATGAACATTACAAATGTATTATTATTTGGGACATATGTATCAAGTTTTCTAGGAAAATGTTTTTAATTTGTGCAGCTCGCTGTTCTTGTCATTGTAATCTTCTATGTCTAGACACTGTATTTTTGTTCTTGTGTTCTAGTTGGACCAATGATCATTAAATTTTAACAGATTGATAATTTAACAACTAACAGAAGTTTGAATTTCTGAATAAAGGTCAAGTTCATTTTTTTTGTACTCAGAATAAAAATAAAAGATAGATCATCATACATAGTGTTAAATTTATAATTTCTTATGGTCAGGCGGGGGCATTTGTGTCTTACAGACAATGCAACAATTTCATATTAAAAAGTTTGGTCTGTCATATGTCTATGTCCTTGACTTCATTTTCATGGTTCAGTGACTGCTTGGAAAAAAATATTGTTTTTGTCATGTGAATTTCTCTCTTATTTTGAGTAATAGGATAACTATATTTGGTATATTGGTGCTTCACAATGTCTACATGTCTGTCAGACAGGGTTCGTCTGACCTTGACCTCATTACAATGATCAAGGTTAAATTAAAATTACATGATTGAGTCTGTTTCTCAGAAATTATAAGCAGTAGGTCAACTATTTGTGGTGTATGTAATGATTGTAAGGGGTACATGTCAGTCTGGCAGGTTTCATCTGATCTTGACCTTTTTTTCATGGTTCATTGGACATTGTTTAGTTTTGTGTTGTTTGGTCTATTTCTCAGATACTATAAGCAATAGGGCCATTTTATGTTGTGTATTGAATGCTTTTAAGGTGTACATGTCTGTAGGGGAGGTTTCATTTGACCTTGACCTCATTTTCATAATTTATTGGTCAATGTTATGTTTTTTGTGGTTTGGTCTGTTTTTCAGGTACTATTAGCAGTAGGACCACTGTATTTGGTGTATAGAATGATCCTAAGGTGTACATATCTGTCTGGCATGGTTCATTAAACCTTGACCTCGTTTTCATAAATTGTTGACAATGTTAAGTGTATGTGATCATTAGGTCAGAGGGCACTGTTATTGTCCTTTGATTTTCGTTGTCTACAAATGTAGTCCCTATACAGTGTATAAATTTCCAAATTTATTTCTTTATATTTTATGCATGAAATATTAAGTAGGGGGATGAAATTACTGGTACATGTTAAAAAAAATTGGGTGAATAAAGTAATGATTTGGTCCAGATAAAAAAGGTAAAAAATTAGTATGTCTGATGCATTCAAACTGAATTATAGACCCCTGTAACATAGAATTGTCCATATTTTGAATTTGAAATGGTAGACCTTTTATAATTTTGATATAATTTGTCTCAAAAGTAGTACGCTACACTATAAAAATCAGTTTGAGATAGAGCAGGTGTGAATTTTTTAATTTGAATTTATTGTCTGAAAGAAATGCACTACGAAATAACTGTGTTCTCAGCCAACTTGCAGGAAAACCTTCATATTACAGACTTTCAACATAAATTTAATCATGATAAGTAAAGCAGGCGTTATCTCTGATTGAAAATGCCTATTGAGTGCTTCTTTTAAAATTTGTTTATATACCAAACACCACTTTATTTTATTCATAATTCTTTTGAACAGGATTTTTAAAGGATGGAGAACAGATTAAACGTAAGTTGTTTTAATAAGTTTCTAGGATAAAATTCTTTCTGGTCTACATGAGATTATTATTAGGCCATGTACGTAGAGCCTAGGCTTCATATTATAGATGCTGTATTGTAAACAGACTGTCAGAACATTCTATATTGTATACATTAAATCAAGTTTGATTTTATGGATTTTCATAACATACAAATTGTTGAGAGTGCAAAAGTGAAGGCAAGCTCCCTTTTGATTAGTTGTCATGAAATTTTAATTGTCAAAACATCATCTATGTTATACAATTATTGGTATTCTAGTTTGTATGAATGCATTTTCACAAATTTCTAACACAATATGTCGATTGGAAAAGAAAGTTCTTTTTTCATTTGAATTTTTTTGAATGTATGTTTTTCAAGAGTTAAAGGACTCTATTCAGCAAATAGGACAGCATTTCTACATTTCTACATCATAAAATAACTTGAATTTACCTTTGTGTGTACCTGATTTTATGTTAGAAATTGGAAATGAAGCTCCTCACTGACATTGAAACAGTGTCATAGCAAATCAGTGGATAAGATCTTGATGAACAAACATGCATTAACATGTAGCTAAAGATTTTTTTACAACAGACAGCATGTCGCAAATATAGATAAAGGGAATTTAGTATCAGACTTTAAAAGAAATTTATTTATATGTTTTGTCCTATATTTCATATGCTACATGTTTTTTTCTGCTGATTCACATAAAAATTAATATGGCTTCAAATAACAAAAAATCCATTTGGAGCTACTGTGTTTAGAGACCTCTTATGTCGGTATATCATTACTGTGTTACTCATATACTCTTAGATTATATCATTATCATTGATATGACTTACTGTACATCATTCCCAAGGATGTTAAATTGGACCCCAGACTTGTATTGCAGATTGTCAATTAGTGGAAGGACTTTTATAGGGGAGTAATATTAGTTTGCCACAAAGCTGAGCTACTGTAAAGATTAATTACTTCTCCAATTCATTCCCAATAAGTTATGTGAGTTATACCTGTCAACTGACCCGGATCTTGCGGGTGTGACCCGAGATTTTCACAATTCTGAGGGGTCACCCGGAACACCCGCCGGGTGACCAAATAACCTGGGAATTTGGAAAATAACCCGTTTTCACCCGGATTCCTTAGCCTTCAGACTGATTAGATATAAAGTGATTTCAATGAAATACCGGCAAATTCATAATTCTTCCTGGACAAGAAGTTCAACTAGCTGTGTAAACTCAGCTCAATTGACCCATTTCAGTGCATGGCTTCACTTGACAGCTTTGGTGTCAAACACACTGTTAATTAACACTAATTACCTTAGCTTTAGGTCGTAAATAATTTGTGTATTTCAAAGTTGTTTTAAAAACAATTCGAGTTACTTCCCTTTTTTTGTCAATTAACAATATACTCCTTAAACTTATGTTTTTTTTGTAGAAAGATTAAATCTAAAATGAATTGAATGCACAAACATATCAGAATAATACTTTTACTTATTGTTCTACCTTAGAACAATTTAAAAATAAAAATTTTGAAAATTACTTTTTTCATCTATACCTCCTTCAATTGTTTAACTTTTTTTTATTATACTCTAATATCAAAATATGAAATGTTCTACTGTTTAAAAGCTGCACAAATGTATGTAAAGAAAACACAAATAGGCACATTGTATGTCATGGAATAAATATGAACAGGAACTAAAGCAATGTAACACAAATCTATCAATGGCCTCCAGGTGCAATGAAATAATAATATGTACAATTTTAAATTAATTAACCATGTGGACATGTTTTGGAAACTTTGATATAAAATATAAGAAAAATGTCCCCTAAATACTGAAATTCAGCTCGAAAAAGTTCGTACGCGTTATGACCTGAGATTTCATTCTCCTATGCAGGTCATCACCTGCATTTTCATTGTCATAGGTTGACAGGTATGGTGAGTTTTACAAAATTATAACATTTTACTATTATTCACCTTACTGACGTACACATATTTAAGGATTTAGATAATTGCATACTATGGGAACACATAGATAATTCTTTATGCCTCACCATAGCTCTGATCTACAGCAAACAATGTTTTTTCACCTCAAAATACAGGACCTCATATCAAGTTATGATTTTTGTGAAGAACGATAAGACATGTAAACTCAGGATACACATTGTGTCCATCAGGTTAAAGCGGTTCTTGAAAAAGGTAAATCCAATGCATAGAATTTATAAAGTATTGTTTTCATTTTCAAGCACTGTTGCTGGTAAATTGATAATATGATATAATATGAATGAGCTGGTACTCAGGTTCAGTCAATAACACACATAGAGGCAAGGTGTGCTGTACTGATTCCTTTAATTATCTTTATAATTACACCTTATGTAAGAATCCTGGGTTTTGATTGGTTGATAGCCAGTGTATTTTTCACCAATTTACTGTTATCAAATGAATATTGTTCATTTTTTAACGCCGCCGGGGTATATGCAAAAAGGATATGCCTTTTTTACCCTCTCTGCCATGGTATTTTGAACAGATATATCATGTTAAGGAGGGGTATTTGCGAAAAATACCAGTCGAGAGAATGTTAAATTTCACGAGCCGTAAGGCGAGGGAAATTCATTCTCAAGACTGGTATTTTTCGCAAATACCCCTCAAGAACATGCTATATCTGTTTAATTACACCGAATGTTAACGTTCAAAAACGCATTGATGATCGTGACGTTACAAGCGTCCAGTCGGATAGAGTATTTTTTGGCAAATACGAGCTTGAATTTGTATTTTTTATACATTTTAGCTTCACTTCCTGAATCTACACCACTTTTGTCATACTTTGAAATGCAGGAGGAATTTCTTAGAGTGGAATATTCTTCTGTGAAGGTAACAATAATTTAAGATAAACAATTATACAATTTTACTGTTGTGGTCTGTAGACACTTATTTTTTTTATTTTTCAATAATGTTTGCTTAGATACAATTTTTCTTGAAAATATAAATATATTGTAACTGTTTTATGGATTTTTGCCCCTCCTGATTCTGAAAAAAAATAAAATAAGTTAGAGAATAAAATTTAATGAAAAAATCACAAATAATACAAAACTGCCACCTCTTGCATTACTATTGAACTTAATATTAACTTATCTTGTTAATTGAATAGAACTGGCACTGGGTAGAACTAATACCACATACAAATTGAATTTAGAGTAAAATTTGATGTTGTTCTGACATGATTTCAAAAAGTATACTGGCCTTGACCTGCAAGAAGTGATCTTTATGAATGCTTAAATCATGAGTTACAACTGTGTTAAAGTTACTTAGATTGAAGCTGGCAGGACAAAGATGGGACTAAGACATTCTTCTGTTTGATACATTTATCAGATGTTACATCATAAAATTGAGAATGGAAATGGGGAATGTGTCAAAGAGACAACAACCCGGCCATAGAACAGACAACAGCAGAAGGTCACCAACAGGTCTTCAATGCAGCGAGAAATTCCCGCAACCGGAGGCGTCTTTCAGCTGGCCCCTAAACAAATATATATACTAGTTCAGTGATAATGAACGCCATACTAATCTCCAAATTGTACACAAGAAACTAAAATTAAAAATAATACAAGACTAACAAAGGCTAGAGGCTCCTGACAGGCGCAAAAAATGCGGCGGGGTTAAACATGTTTTGTGAGATCTCAACCCTCCCCCCTATACCTCTAGCCAATGTAGAAAAGTAAACGCATAACAATACGCATATTAAAATTCAGTTCAAGAGAAGTCCGAGTCTGATGTCAGAAGATGTAACCAAAGAAAATAAACAAAATGACAATAATACATAAATAACAACAGACTACTAGCAGTTAACTGACATGCCAGCTCCAGACTTTAATTAAACTGATTGAAAGATTATGTCTTCATCATATGAATATCAGGCAGCCTAGATATGAACTTCATTACAGAAATGAATCATAATTTGATTTTGTAGATAGTAGGAAAATGACACCAATTATTTTACTTTCTTTTTTATTATTTTTTTGGCAGAAAAATGTCTTTCTTTTATGAAAGTGATGTAAAAAAATATCTTCAACATTGTTCAACTAGAGCAAACACTATAGATAATCATATGAATTTCCATGTACATTCATTGTATTGGACAATATGTGGACTGCCATTGCCATTAGAGATTGGCAGGAATAAATTTGCACCGATTGCAATTATAAATGTATCAATTGATCGGCTGTCTTTTTTCTTTATGGTATTAATTGCAACAATTAAGAGAATCCAATTACGCCATATGTACCTGTATATCATTTTCCAATTATATCAAATGTATCATATACTATTGTTAATCTACGGCAGAATAGAATTCCACATGTTTGTTGATGATAGATGGTTTGGTAACTAACAAATACAATGACTTTGTCCTATGTAATGAATTTGAATCAATTCATAATAATTTTACTGTAAAATCAGATACAAATGCGAGGTTTTTATTACTGCAAATAATGCGACTGGGTGAATGTCGCAATAATAAAAACTCACATTCTGATATATAATACATATCTATGTATGCAGAATTGTCTGAAATCGTATTAATTAATCTTGCATTTATGTCCATTCTTCAAAAATCGCAATAATAAATGCACGCAATAATTTCTGAGGATCTGTAATTAGTTTTTACAGTTTCAAAGTAATGTTGATAAAAGGAGATAGATAGTTAATCAGGTGTGTGCCAGTTTAATTGATACAAACAAAAATCTATAAGTTTTAAATTGAAGAAGCACAAAAATAGCATTGGTGCAAATTAGATTGTGGCACAAATGAATGCATTTTTGGACACAAACAGATATCAGCACTGACAATTACATATAAAAATAAGAAGATATGGTATGATTGCCAATGAGACAACTCTCCACAAGAGACCAAATGACACAGAAATTAACAACTATAGGTCACCGTATGGCCTTCAACAATGAGTAAAACCATACCGCATAGTCAGCTATAAAATGTTCATTGGCTTTAACGCAGGTCTGTGAATTTTGTTCAAAGTCATTATATGCTTAGGTCAGATTGGAGCAGACAGTACAATGGTATGACTAAGACATCCTTTCTCTCTAGTTAACATTCAAAAGTTATTGAAATTGCCCATGACATTACATTATTTTTTTGGGTCTAAAAATGCGTTTTTTATATTTCCTTCATCCTGTACAGCAATGAAAAAATACATAAATGCAACTTTACAGCGCAAATTTTAAAGAGACATATATATGAGTTAAAGGTCATTGTTGGTAATTGCTACTAAACAAATTTTCTGCATAAAGGTTTATACCGGTAATGCCTTTTTTTTCAGTCAAACATTCACACATCAGTTGAAAGACATGGATTTTCAGCATTGAAACATTTCCTGTTTGGGCCACCAAAAATGCACAGAAACTTGCATGTAAACAGAGAGAAAATCTTTTGTATAGCTGCATGTAAGAATTTCTATGTAAGACAAGACAATTTTACAAGGACTTATGATATCACTTGGTTTTCATCATCTGTCGTGTATCAACTTTCTCTTTTGAAATTGCTTGTCGTTTGGGAAGTATATTTGATTTGCACATATTTTACATACAGTATATTCATTCTGTAGGATACATCTGAAACAATAATTATAAGCATGTAAAATGAAATTTCACTTATATAGTTTTTAGCTCACCTGGTTGAAAGGCCAAGTGAACTTTTCCCATCACTTGGTGTCCATCATTGCCGTCGTCTATTAACTTTTACAAAAATTTTCTATGAAACTATTGGACCAAATTTAACTAAACTTGGCCACAATCATTATTATGGTATATAGTTTACAAAATGAGTCCTATGACCTCTGCTGTCAACCAAGAAGGCCAACATGGCTGAAAATAGAACATAGGGGTAAAATGCAAGTTTTGCCTATTATTTCGAAAACGGCTATTTACAAAGAAAATATAACAGAGGCAAAAATGTTCAGAATGTTGAGCTCTACATATTGTCCATTTAAGTCAAAACTGTCAGACGACTTCTTATAAGAGTTATTGCTATTTTAAAATTTTTTTACCAATTTTTTGTGTTATTGCCAAATATCTTAAAACTATAATAGAAAAAATAATCAGCACGACAGGATCTACAAATAAGTCAACATAGGTGAAATCTTCAATTGACTCCTTATTAGAATTATTGCCCTTTAATGATGATTTTTCCCAATTTTTGTCTTATATCTTTTAAATATCTACAACAGATAGATAGAAACTTTAAAAGCTAAATAATCTACAATTATGGCAACATAACCGAATTTGTTAGTCTACTCTTTATTGAAGTTATTGCCATTTAATGATGATTTTCCCCATATCTTGAAAACTGTAATAGATATATTGAAACTTTAAATAGCACAAATGATTAGCAAGACAAGATCTACAAATGTGCCATAATGGCAGAAATATTCAGTCAACTCATTATTTAGTATTGCCCTTAAATGATAATTTTTAACATTTTTAAAGACCAAAGAGCAGACAACATCCTAACACAGCAAAGAAACAACAAAAATATTTAAGAGAAGCTATATTGAAGCTATTTATATAAACTCACTAAATATAAAGTTGTTTCTTGTGTGCGCATGTCCTTTGTCTAATCCAAATTATTCCTAAAATTTGATGTAAAACAGTGAAAATCAAGTAAATATTGTAGCATTAAAAAATTATCTTATAGAAAGTACTCCTTGGCTCCAACTGACAGAACTTATATGTGATAAAAATATCCTCCCAATCAAGACTGCCTGGGTTTTTTATTGTTACTTTGTATTTACAAGCTTGTCAAATGATTCAAAGAAACAGCTATATGTACTTGTCTTGATTTTGTCAAAGATTTATTTTGCAGGTGTAATATCTATGGACTATTTATCGTAATTTTAAGATATATGATATTTGATACATGTATTTTTTTTTTCCAATATACACATTACAAAAAAAAAAGAGAATCAAGAAATTTTACAAATTTACGACTTTCATCATGGTTTGATGCCATGGTATCTAGTGAAACTTGTTTTCAGTTTGTAAATGCCTTGTAACTTAGTTTAGTTAAGACAAATCTAAGAACATGTAAAGTAACTTTTTATTTGCACTAATATTTGGGCCACAAAAGGGTCCTTGGAAGCAAATACATCGTTAAAATTATTGATTTATGTACATATTTTTAGACAAACATGAACAGGAACTACTCCCAAACGCATAGAGTAATGTGGCAGTTTTTTTTTTTCCTCACTAGACCAGTTTAAAATACTGTTTAAAACATTAAATTGTCGAAACTGTTGATGAATTTGTTCTGACTGAATATGTGTAGTAAGTCATCTGAAGTTGATGGCCATTAATAAAGATATAAAGTGACCAGTGAACACAGCAGTATGTAAGTCAGACAAAGATAAGCATTACATGTATTAATATTTAAAGCATACCTTTATTTATATTGTAGCAAGTTTTAACAACACTGATAAACTGCACACAAGAGCTTTACAGACTATTTATAGATGTCTAACAGGTTCTAGATTTGACTGCAGTAGATTTGGAAGTCACTGGGAAGAAATAGGTTTTCAGGGTAAGATTTTTCACTTCTTTTCACAATAATAAAGTGACCATAAGTTTTTTATCCCTCCAAAAAAAGGAGATATTGTAATGTACTTTAACATGTACCAACATCTTTTGAACAATTTTGCATAAACAAAGAGATTGTTACCATTGAATTGAGGCCATGATTTAGATCTTAACTTAAGGTGGTACCTAACACTACAGGGAGATAACTCTGTAAAAATCAGCTAAACGTTTTAATTACGTTGTATTGTTAAGGAAATATTAAGCTTCTCAATGATCAAAATTAGTGTATGTCAAACTGCTATATAACCAATGAAATTTTTCTGATAAAGTGGTTGGTTCAAATTTTTTGAAATTTTTATATTTTTGTCAAAGGGTCAAAGTAAACATTTTGTCAAAATTTTATGAAAATTAAACGAGCCAAATTAATATTAGTCAAGGTGTTGGATACCACCTTAAATTGACGAACAATTCCATATTTTACTGCCAGAATGGGATATTGGTCTGATGTAAAAATGACAAAATTCCTCTTATACACTGGAAAACATGCTATGTGATTCTTCTAATTAGATGAAGTGACTGAGGTTGTCAACATTTAGGTTTCTGGTGATTTCCAAGTCATATGTGAAGCTAAAGTATATCTTCAAGTCAGAGGTAATCAAAACATCAACATGGCAATGGGACTTTTATATCATAATGTTCACTAAGTCTCCATAATCTGAAATTTCTATTATTTCCTTTTTAGGAATCATCTCAGAAATAAGGCTGAGGTCAAGGTTATCTTGATCAACATTTTTACACATAAATAGACTATGACCATTAGTACTTAAAGTAAAAGATTTGGTCCATATCAAATTGATATTCTTTACGCTGAACCATTCCCCATCAACCTTTTTACTGAAAACCACAGTAAGAAAAATAATAGCCTTATTAATTATGCTAGTCAGGAGGGTCAAGACTCAGCATATTTTTATGGCAATACAGACAAAATGCGATTGACAATAATTAACTGAAGGTCAGAGATCAAGTATCTTTATACTGTGCCATGAATAAAGGATGCAAAAATTTAATTTATTCCCATCTGCCCTTCAGTTTATATTTCTGTCTGGTTTGGTCAATTTGGTGTTCAAGTTTATTTATCAGGAGTTGTACATTTCATGAGGCTGTGTTGACAGTCAGCACTTCGAGGAAAAAACAATAAAATTTTATCATCTCATTCATCGTTGTTTATTTTTGGAGATAGTTTATAACGAGACCTTGGCAGCCAGGTACTCTAGTTCTTAAGCTTAAAAGCAAACAATAGATGTTATTTTTTGCAACATAGCAAATAAAATGCTTCCAAATTTCCTGAAAAACATGGAAATCATCAAATTAGTTGTTTGGATTTGAAAGCAGTCTCAAAGAAAAAATAGATGCTGTTTATGGAAGCACTTAAATTCAACTGTGAGGCATTAGGCTTGTTATGAATAAACAACTGGATACTTTTTGTCACCAATAGTATTCAATAAATGACAGAAAATCATATAACTTTGTCATATATAACAGGGATACTTGCACAACAATTTGGCATTAACCATGTTAATAATACACTGCTACAATATTTTGTGCCAATACAGTAATGCTATCTATAGCATTTTAAAAATGTTTACTGCTTTAAGCCTGAGAATAAGCACATGGACCCCTAATTTACCTCACCTGGCCTGAGAGGCCAAGCTAGTATTTGCTGTACTTGGTGTCAATCTTATTTCACATACTTGGTGTCCATGGACATCTTCTGTCCATCCATCTTTATAAACTTTTTTAAAATTTTCTGCTCTGAAACTGCAGGGCAAAATTTTACCAAACTTTACCTGAATGAACTGAAGGAATCTAGTACTATAAAAACTGTATCCAGGGATATGATCCATAAGTAAACATTATTGCTTCTGCTAAAAATTGAATATAGGGGTAAAATGCAATTTTTTGCTTTATTTCTCAAAACCTTAAGCAGTTGGAGGAACAACTGACATAGGTTTTAAATGATCAGCAGGTCTAGGTATCTTTTTTATAAATTTCCAAAAAAATGGATAACTCATTTTTGAGTAATTGCCCCTGAAATTATTTCAAAGTTTTTGGTTGTTATCTTGAAAAATATAACAGAGAGAAATTTTAAACAGTAAAAGGACATGATAGGATAAGATAGGCATTATTGCCTTTGAATGATGATTTTTGTCTCGCCTTGACGGAGTAAAAAAGCGAGACATAGGTATGCTGTTTCCGGCGGCGGCGACGGCAGCGGTGGTGGCGTCAACAATGTATTAGTTTGTGATTAGGTCTAGTTCATGGTGAACCACTAGTGGTAGGTCAATGATATTTGGTATGCAGTTGTATTAGCATTGGCACATCTCATTATTATGGAGATTATTTGGCCCCGCCCCCTCAGTCAAGGTCTATTGACTTTGAAACTTTTCATAGTTTACATGTATTAGTTTGTGATTAGGTCAATTTATGGGGAACCACTAGTGGTAGGTTAATGATATTTGGTATGCAGTTGTATAAGCATTGGCATATCTCATTTCCATGGAGATTATTTGGCTCCTGCCCCTTAGTCATGGTCTATAGACTGAAAATTTTGCTAAGTTAACATGTATTAGTTTGTGATTAGGTCAGTTCAAGGGGAACCATTAGTGGTAGGCCAATGTTAATTGGTGTTCAGTTGTATAAGAATTAGCACATCTCATTTCCATTGAGAATATTTGGCCCCGCCCCCTCAGTCATGGTCTATTGACTTTGAAACTTTTGCTTAGTTTACATGTATTGGTTTGTGATTAGATCAGTTTAAGATGAACTGCTAATGTTAAGTCAATGATATTTGGTATGCAAATGTATTGGCATTTGCAATTATCGTTTCCATGGAGATTATATAGCCCCACCCCTGATCATGGTTCATTGACTTTGAAACTTTTACACAGTTTACAAGTTAATGTTTGTGTTTAGGTTTGTTTAAAGGGAACGACTTATGATAAGTCAATGGTATTTGGTATGCAGTTGTATTAGCATTGGCACATCTCATTCCATGGAGATTGTTTAGCCATGTACCTTCAGTCATGGTTCATCGACTTTGAATATTTGCATAACTTACATGTTAAAGTATTGCTATTTTAATTTCAACATTTGCAATATCAAAATTACAAAAAGGCGAGACATATCTCTGTGATAACAGTTTATTACCCCTTTTCAAAGAAATTATAGTATATAGAGAGGTTCTCTCAATAGAAAAATTGTTTAGATCTACAAATAAAGCAACATAGACAAAATCATCAATTGACACATTATAGAGGTTAATGCCCCTGAAAGACCATTTTTACACACTTTTGTCAAAAACTATTGTGGATAATGGCAAAAATGTTCAGCAAAAAAAGATCTACAAATATGTCAACATGGCTGAAATTGCTGAATGAACCATTATAGGAGTTATTGCCCTTTAAATATGGTTTTTATCATTTTTTTCAGAAACCATAATATGTAGAGAGAAATTGTAATTAGCAAATATGTAAAGGACAATAAGATCTACAAATGAATAAAAAAAACTGAATTGTCATCTGACTCCTTATAGGAGTAATTGCCCCTTAATAAACATTTTTACCCATTATATGAATTTTTTACTAATATTATAGAGATCTCTTCTGTATCTTATGCCCTTGAAATAAGCTTTAATTATGATGGCAAATGAAATTCACTCTTTCATGACTGGTAAAGTTTGACATTTTTATTAAAGATTATTTTTGAAAGTCATGAAATATTTATGATATTTCATTATTGTGGCATTAGAATTTTTATTTGTTTGTTATCATGACCTGCTTTTTACAGCTTTATAAGATAAGAATTTTGAAAGGTATATAGTTTGGTAATCCATATATAATATTGCTCTTCTCAAGTCCAAAGTAGTTCTTACTTAGGTGCATCCATTCAATCATGCAGGATGTTTAGATACACAGTCTGATTGAGATGTAGTTAATAGGAATTGATAATATTGCCATACAAGTAGATGGCTGTAAAACCTGGATCAGCCTACAGTCTTCCACTTTTGATACAAAGTACCGGTACATATACCAAGTGAGGAATATGACAGTAAATTTTTCCCAAAATATTTTGAATTGATTTTTTTTATAGTATAGTTATTTGTTATTTCCTTTTCCTTAATTTCCATATTATGTCACTCATATTTTATCTCAATTCCAGTGAGATGTGTATATTTCTACATATACTACTTCTTGTCAAGTCTACTCAACTTACATTTTCATGTTTGATATTTAGGAGTATGTTTAGCAATTACAGCAAAATAATAGTCTTTGGCTTTCTATCCTTAAATATTTTTAGGTGTTTATTCAAACATTCATGACTACAATTTCATTAAGTTGAAAAAAAAAAATTAATTAATATGTTCCTCTTTTATTTTAGGAAATGATCCATCAACAGATCTGAGGGGAACAGGGTTATTAGGCTTAATGAATCTAATCTATTTATTAAGAGACCCAAAATGTCATATGATTGCAAAAGATATTTATAAATTATCACTTCATCCAACTCAGGTAAGATATTTTTTATCAAATATGATATTGACCCACAATTGATGTTTTAATCTGTTATATTAGATTTTGATATTTCACTAGCAAATTTTTGAATAATTAAACAGCTAAGTTGATTCAGATTATAAATTCCTCTGCCCTTTGGTTTGAGTTATCCCTCAATGGATTTAAAGAAACATTTAAGAGTGAAAAAAAAAAATATTTAACTCAAGTGACATTTTTTTCATATTTTAAAGAGAGGTGAAAGATACCAGAGGGACATTCAAACTCATAAGTCAAAAATAAACTGACAACACCATGGCGAAAAAAAAGAGAAGAAAATTAAAGGAAATTTCTGTTTTACTACTCCGAGAGTATATTACATTACAATAGTCTATTTTAATGTTCTTCTTTGAAACAGCAGAACCAATTTTAATAAAGTTTACATGATTGATCCTAAAGCTATCTACAAATCAAATATATAATCAATTGATTTTTGCATTACAAATCTGCAGGCTCTAAAGAGCCTGAATCCCTCATCAGTAAAATGCCATATTGATATTTACGTAAAAATCAGGATTAGATATTTTTTACAATCTGTCTATTTTTTAAACTCCTTTTCAGTTTCGAAGATTTGATATGTTGTTTCAGTGTTAAAGGTAAAAAAATTCAGAAATCTATGTTATACAATTTCAGCCGTTTGAGGTTTTTTATAATTTTGATTCACCATGTTATTTATGATTGAGAAATAAACCTCCCTTTTGATTTTAAAGAATTTTGGATGAGTCACTCCAGAGAACATTTTCTTGACATGCAATAACTGAAGTTTACTTTTTCTAACCTGCTTTAAAAAAAAGCAATCATTTTAGCACTCCCACACTAACAGTTTTCGTCAGATTAATATAATAATAAATATACCGGGTATGCCAAAGATTAAGATCAGTTATTTCTGGGATGAGTTCAAAAATAAGGGCAAATAATGATTTTTTTTTTTAATTATGCCCATTGGAAATAAAATTAAATATGAAAATAGACATTGTTGACAGTCAGTGCAAAGATTTGATAAAATTTAGGTCAAAGGTTTGCATCAGCAAAAACAAAACAGCCAAAACTGTATTAGGTAGCTTTCCAAGACGGAGTTGCATCCTTAGCTTTTGGACAGTTTTATGATTTTATGAACTGGAAATTTACAGACAAAATGTTTGTTTTTTTTTAAATTGTGTCAATACCCAAGCATTTGTTAATGGGCAGAAGGAACTCTCTGGGACTCTCAGGTAGTCCATCAGCAACAGTACTGCCACGTTTGTAGTAAAAAAAGTATGATATGATTTCCATTTTTGAATTAAACTTCATCAGGTACACTTAAGTTTGAAAAGTCAAATATATAAAACATTGCAGAAAACAAATACCAAAACTGGACTTTTGAGAACAGCCTGTCTATAGTCAGCCAGAGGGAGTTATAACCTTATCCCTACCAAAACTATAGAATTCTATGAACCCAAAATTTAGAGACAAAATTTATCATTTGAATCATACCATTATCTAGACTAAGCCATGCTACTGGACAGATTATACCCTCTGAGATAGACGACTTTTGAATTCTTGCACTTTCCTGTACATTTCCTATATCACAATGCTTATGTTATTATGTCACAGTAAGAACCAATTGTTTTGACCTTGGATCAACTGGTGTAGCTCATTCAAATAAAGCAACTCAAGATTTGTGTATTGACTGATAGCAGAGGTAAAAAGAGAGTAACTTTTATGAAATGATATTCATGCACACAACACCTCTTTAAATATCTAAGTGTTATTCCTATTCTAATACATAAGAGCAAAAAAAAAGGAACTTAACCCACATAAAATAATACTGAAAAATATTGTTGATGATTTAATCTCATTTAGGTTATGGAAAATCATGACGTAATATGAAGCTAAACTTTCACACTGTTTGTTATTTCATTCATTACTTGTATTCCTCATATTGGGATATTAATCTCAAAATAAAAGAAGGTTATATGTTTAGTGTTGTTTTATTTTCAATCTGTGTAATAGATGCACATGTTGAGTTTTATGAAATCAATCCGTTGGCTCATTGAAAGTAAACCTCTTTGAGAAAACACTCAATGTGTGGATTTGACAACAAACAGTACTTACCAATGAAACATACATGTTACAAAAACAAAGTATTAGAATTAATGTTACAGGTATATCTCATTACTATTTGATTAGAATTTTAACTTTTATAATATGCTCAATTTTTCCACACAAAAAATCGTCAGCCAACCTGATCATCAGGGGACAAAAATATGAGCAGAACAAACTATGCAATATGTTAGGTGAGCTATATATATACAAATTAGGCTGTAAATTTTTTGCCAGTACTTTTTCATCTAATTTGTATGTTAAATTTTAGCTGTACAGCTCAGGGGAAATAGTACTCATTAAGTGTAGGCAGCTGTTTTCAAAATTTATGACCATACTATCAGCGTGTAGACAGTTTTATATTTGTTTGATTTTTTTTTTTTCAGAATTTTCCTTTTTGTGTCATGGGAATAAATATGTCAAGAATAACTTTACAATCATTAAGAGAAGATTGTTTAAATAAGTAAGTATACATTTGTTGAATTTTTCTAGGTGATTTTAACCTTTTATATTTAGATCATATAAAATAAGAAGATGTGGTATGATTGCCAATGAGACAACTCGCCACCAGACGGTGACAGACCAAATGACATAGAAGTTAACAACTATAGGTCACTTCAACAATGAGCAAAACCCAAGGAATTGTACAGTCTGATGTATGTACAAAACAAAGAAAAACAAAAATGATAAAAAAAACACAAAAGACACAAAGTACAGGTCTGAGAGTACTTGCCATAACTGAAAGCTAGTTTAAAGCCAATAAAATGTATCTAAGACTCAATCATGTATATTTCAGCTACAAACTAAAAGATATGAATCTTTTAAATACATTAAGATAACGAATTTCAAATTAATCACTTGAACAAAGTTTTTTTTAATGTTCCCCATGGATGCATTCGTAACATATGTGTTTTTTAATTGAAGTATGAAAATAAATGTTGCTTTAATCTGCAATAGCATAGATAGAAAGATAAGCTATGATGTGATATGTGATAGCATTAAAGGTACCAATCATCAAATGCACATTTCGACAATAAATATCTTTCTGATAATTTTTCAAGTAGAAAATGAAAGAAACTATATGGCAACACCCATTGTTGTATAATGTCAGAGGAGTGTAATTATCAGATTTATTTGACGTTTATTGATAGGTTTTTATTTCACTGGAAATCACGATAATACATTGCAACCAATGCAATAAATACTTGTAACTAACTCATAACTATTTGTAATGACACGTAAACAGATTGTTACTAAGACACTTCAATGAATAGTAACATTATGTAATAAACTCATAACAATCTGTAAAAAGCTCTTGAAATGACTGTCGGGCTTATTTTTCTGTGACAACTTGTAACAAATCCTTGAATTTTTCTGTAAATACATGTAATTATTAGTAATGAAACATAAATAGCCTGTTATAACTCGTTACAATTCTTAAATTGGTTGTTAAAGTGACCAAATTGTAGTGATCTGTAAGGACTTTTAAGACATATCTGTGTATGTGAAGGGGGCATAGAGTTAATGTTTTTCATGACATCAATAGCTTTGTCAAACCTTCATGGAATTTAAGAGCGAAATTTTGAAAATATCTTATTTCATTTTCTGTATTTTACTGAAAAAGTTTTTTTTGCAGTTAACATTTAGGAATACGAAAAAATCAGTATATGTATATCTATTTATAAAGTATTCAAATGCATTCTGGGGTCAAAGTTTTTTAGACATTGATAACTTTGTCAAAACTTGTAATAATTTTATGAAATGTTTGTTTATTGTTTTAGTATAAACTTTGCCAAAAGCTTTTTTATCTTTTAAAAAGATGCAAAATTTTGGTAATATATATTTGGCTTTGGAAAAAGAAAATAGCTCGAAAATTTTATGTTTTCCACACTTTATTTCTGTAATGCCTGAGGCATTTGATTAGATATTTAATATACAGTTATATCATAAAAAAATCCAGATCCAGTTTGATTATTATTCTGGTTGAGTTTTTTTTTACTTAGTTGTGATCCATGGAAATAGAAAGTTTGGAAAATCTCATTTTCCACACATTTTTCTCTAATCACCAGCCTGAATGAAATAATTAGATATTTGGTATAGAAGTAACAGATTAAGTTTGAGCTTTGCCATGGCGTTGTCAGTTTATTTTCTACTTATGCATTTGAATGTCCCTTTGGTATCCTTCACCTCTCTTGTTACAGTTAAACAATTTTTGCAGAAGTTGCTGCTGTAGTACATAGAAATTTCTATAAGATAGATGCCTCAGGCTTGGGTTTAATGCAAAATTGAAATGATGAAAAGAAATTTATGTTGAAATATATGAGCTATCTGTAAAGCAGTCACATGGTCTCAGATATCATCTGTTGCATTTGCAAAACTACTTTTTTAGAAAATTTGTTCTATACCTTGTGATAGTTAGGGACGACATCAAAAGTTCAATGTAGGATAAAAAACTTAATTCACATAGTTTTTTCACTGACCCCACCCCCCTCTTAACTTAATTTGGGAAAAATTGATTGACCAATATTGATATATGTAAAATCGATTTTGGATAAACAAAACTTGCAACAATTTTAACCCCCCCACCCCCAAACTATTTGATTTAAGTTTTTTATCCTACATTGATCTTTTGATGTCGTCCCTTAATTTTCAGACAGTTCACACTACAGAATCTTCACTATGTTTGAGGCATTTAGGGATAAATTAGTTAGTCTTTCACTTATGTTTATCCACAGAGGCATTGAAATTTTCAGAAATATAATTATGGACAGATTTGCCAAAGCAAAAAATTAATACTACTGAAATATTTTAATCATGAGGGGTCATAAATTGACATTTCTCATTTATTTTTATTAAACTTAATGTTATAATGTGTTATTTTTCTTACAGAGAATGCAATAAAAGGGAAGACGTACTGAATGTTGTAAATGACTTTTATGCAGGAATATATTTACACATGTACCAACTGTGGAAGTCAAAAGGAAAAACAATATCTGACTCTGGATTTGTTATCAAACGTAAATATATAAATTCTAGGGCTTAATTTAATAATTAAGAACTAATTTCATAATTGGAGAAAATAGTATTGACTGAAGATGTTAAATTTATAGGTTTCAGGTTTGTCATTTCATGATTATAATATGAATAAAAGGAGATGTGGGATATACATCAATGAGACAGCAACCCTCAAGGACAAAATTAACTAAAAGACACCTAGAGATTAACATATAGTCTTCATCAAATAAACACAATATTTCAAGCTTTAAATCGTCTCAAGTTTATAAGATTTGTGAATATATATTTAACAGAAACAATCAAAGATCTACTATGACCTCCTAATTCTCTAATTAAGAATAATAAAGAATCAAATTTCATCTTCTGTTTTTTAATAAATCTTGCTAGAAAAAAGGAGAAAGGAAAAAACTGAATTCTTTACCTGGGAGGCCTGAGCCCTCACATAAATGTATGTTTAAGCTCACCACATCCTTGATGTGCCTGTTCAAAGCCAGAGCTCTGTATTTGCTTTCTGTTTGATTTGTTTTTTTATGTCCCTTCTGCAATAGAAAGGGGCATTATGTGTTCTGTCTGTGCATCCATCCTGCTGCAAGTTGTTCCATTTGTTTGTTTGTTTGATTATCCTTTCTGTATCAGGTTCAAGTTTTGGTTTAAGGATGTATTCTTCTGATGTTTCAGTCTCGTTGAAATCTCGTTCAGTTATTATTTCCAAAACATGTGATACAAGTGGAAAATATCAATGAATTTAAAATATATTATAATCAAACTAAACTCTGTGAAAAAATTGTGTACTTACAATTATTAGTTTTTTTGAGTAATAAAATTTTCAAATTTTATAACCAATCCAGTCCGTGTCATCAGCCAAAATGTTGAGAAAATGGTTGAGGGACCTTACAAAGAAATGATTTTAATAAAAATATGTACATCCATATCAATTTTTTTTTCAAAATTCTTAGAAATGTAGTTTTTCAATCATTTAAGACAAATAAGTTGAAATAATATGCTTTTTGTTCAAAAAAAAAGAAGAAAAATCATGATTCCAAAATTTATAAAATTGACAGCATGGTCAATTTGACATGGAAAAGCAACAAAATTTATAAAACTTTCTAATATTTACACCAACCTATAGTTTTTTTAGGTTAAATTTATTCAGATTGGTCAACTTCATCTTTAGTAAAAGTATGAAAAAAAGTTTAATTGTGAAACTGTGATTTTTTCATGATAATAGCCCAAAATGAGTAAAAATTGATGGAAAATGGGAAAATCATTAAAAATGGGGTACTTTCAAAAGGCTGTAGCTACGGTCATATAAACCCAAAAATCAGGTTCCGAAAAAAAAGTTTAATTCTAGTAATTTTTGGCTCCTCAGAGGTGTACATCCTTAAGGTAGGTTATGTTTTGGTTAAAGGTTGTTGTGGTCACATCAATTGGAAACTTAGTATACAAGTTTATTATGATGTGAACATATAAAAATATATTCCAAATTAGGGTTTTAAACAAGTTTTTCCAAAACATGGAAATGTGATAGTGTGAGTAGATTCTTGATCATTTTATGTTTTGACTTGAAGTAGGGGGTTTGTTGTCTCTCTTTAATTGATTCATATTTTGGGAGTTTTTTCAGGACCTTTTTTGTAGTTCTTTGTGTACTGTTTATAGCTTTACAATGACCTGTTTTAAATTTGATTAATCTATAAACTTGGCAACATGCAAGAATAGAGAGTACTCTTGAAATTACATGGGAAACTTAAAGTAATAAGGTGTGTCTGTCCATTCATCACATGTCTGTCCTATATCTTACTGTTTTGAGTTAACTGTTTCACAGCAGGTTTAGAATCTTTGAGTCCAATGTCATAGAATTGCTATAATGATGCATATCATATATTCATGTTTATGAACTATGACAGCTTTATATCTTGAATATCTTGAGTAGAAGATATATTGCCAATAAGTTTGGAATTTCTAGCTTCAAGGCCAAGGTTACAGTTTAATATAGCAGTCCCTAGATTTTATGCTCACAAATCCCTCATCAGTAAGCCAATCAAATTTAAATGATGATACTTTTATATACCTAGTTCATCACACCTTAAATGATTAAAGGTCTGTCATAAATAAAATTGGCATCTAGTTTGCAGATCAAGATTGTACACACAAGGATTTGTCTCAGACAAAAATACCTAATACTTTAACATGACTAAGGTATTCAGTACTTGTACACTAAAACTACATTCACACTGCCCATGTGAAACTTAATTTTTATACAAGAAAAGTTACATAAGAATTAAATACTGGGAAACAAAGTCTAAATAAAATACTCCGTCTTTAAGGCAGTTACTGACAATGATTCATTGGGTTAATAGCAGACATCCATTTGTCTTTTTGAAGTTTTTCTTGTGTTTAACTGGTTGGAAAGTATTTTTTTTTAATAGCAAAACATGATTTAGATTATCTAAATAATATCAAAACTGATTTGTAAATTGCAAGAATCAAGATAGAACCATGCCATTTTCATATGCACAAATGTGTGCTGTGTACACAGGTGTGAAACTTAATGGTGCATCTGTAAGCATTCAAAATAATTATTAAGCTGTAACAGCTATATATCTTTATAATTCTCAAGTATTGACATGAAGATCAAAATGATCAAAAATCAAAATCAAGTTTGCAGTTATCAGATTTTAAAGAACTATGGGTAATTTCATTGTTTAAACCAAACAAAAAATTATATCCTGTCATTGTTTGAATTTCTTTTGATTAGATCATTGTTAGCCAATCACAACATTTTTGTATATGCTTTTAAAATTTTACCCAGAATTCTTCAGATTCTGAAACAGCTTCGTGTTACCTTGATTTGCTTAGATATGTTAAGTTACAAATGTATATAAGATTAAAAACAGGATAGGTAAAAATGTAAAGTTGCCTCAAACTTTTTTTTTGAAAACCTTGAATGGAAAAAAACATAGTGAGATTAGCATGAGGAAACACAATAGATAATTGTTCAACTGTCTGGAAAGAAATTATGTTATTTTTTTTTTAGATTTAGAAACTGAAGCTAAGAAGAATCCTCACCATATTCTTAAGAATTTAGAAGACTATATACGTAGCAGAAAGAGTACCAGTACAGTAAATTTAGACAATATGGATCCAGGGGGAGATAACTTTTTAAGTGTATGTGAAACAGAAGCAGGGCAATATTAAATATCACATATTTTTACAAATTACTCAAATGGCTACAGGTTTGCTGACAACTCTTTCTGAATATGAATGAAGGACTGTTTGTTTCACAACCATTGATGCCATGATAAAAGAGGTTGGAGTAAGCAGAACTTGGAAATTAGCCCGTCTGTTGTTCACTGTCTTGCAAACTTTACAGACAAATAAATCACACTACTAAAACAGTTGATTGACTTTATCATGTTTATTGGAGATATTGTCCTTTAATGACTAATTTTACATATCATTTTCCTTTTTGTTTCAGATCTGCACTTCTGAAACTACTGAATCAATTTAAACCAAACATTGAATTGTTTCATATTTTTCATGTAGGGGCCTTTTATAGCCGACTATACAGTATGGGTTTTTCTCATTGTTGCCTATAATTGCTTACATCCACTTCATTTGAACTTTGGTAGATAGTTGTCTCATTGGCAATCATACCTCATCTCCTTATTTTTATATTGACAAGATTGATCCGTAGTTTGTCTCAATTTTAGTTGATGATATAATACATAAAGGAATGACAGGAAAATAATACCTTTTCTATAAATTCTTTTCTCTAATTCTTACACGATTTATCCTTTTCCTGACCTGTTGATTCTATTTAGTCAACGTGTGGTTCCTTTGATCTCAGTTCTTCATTGGTCAAAATTCGATTATGACATCAAATTTTCTTGCTTTCCTCTGAATTTCCTATTTTGACGTCATGAAAAAAGGCGACCATGCCTGATGAAGTCACATAGAAAGAACACATCTTTTTGCAAATCATTCGAAAAGAAGGATTGAGTTTGTCTGCATATTGTTTAAAAATCATTAGAGAAACAGATTCCACCACAAAATCTTGTGCAATACGATATTTCTCCACTCTCAACAGTTAAATTTTAAATATTTAACTGTCTCTAGTGGATAAATATCGTATCACACTCAATACAGTGGTAGAATCTATATTTAATGGTGTGCTCTAATTTTTTATTTATTTCATTCCAATCAGAGGATATAATCAAGTCAGACTAACTACCTCACATTATCATTATACATTTTTGTTGGGATAATTTCCTCAATTATGATGTTGATAAAGACTAAGGGATGTTTGTGTAATGGATAGGCTTTTCAAACTTACATTTGTTTGTTGTTTCTTTTTGAAACATACCATTTTTTACAGAAACTACATATTGTTTTGTGATAATTTATTTTGTATTGACTTTGTAATTATTATGTACAAGTAGTTACCTTGTCGTCCATGTTAGTGATATAAATATTTTTAGTTTACTCATATGCTGATTATTGTTACAGTATTTATATATGTTATCATTTTTGCAAAAGAATTGTTCCCTAGTACATTGTACTTATACATAAAAGATTTAATTTGTTAGTGGTTGATATAATAAAACAGTTGTAGAAAATAGACTGTGCCCCCTATGTAATATATATATATATGTGGAAGATGGATTCCATTTTGTTATACTTTGCACACAACTAAATAACTATAGAATTAAAATGTCAAATGAAATTTCTGATATTGTTCCTTGTTTTAATTCAACGAGTTATGAGAAAAAAATGATTTGAAGTTTTTCTTGTAAACAATATGACATATTGATGATCAGTGTTAATGGCATAGGTGAGTTGTACAGTAAGAGAACCAACATTGATTATTGTGCATGAACTGTGTATTTTACATGTAAGATTCTTTAGGAATAGGCCTTTTTTTATTTTGAATAACCTTGTATATCAACAAATATTGTTAATCGAATATTTTTAAGGATTTGTGATTCGTTAAAACTTGATCAAATTGTAAATTTGTATTTACTCAGTTTGCATGCTTTTCGTAGGTCAGAAACAGCATATTGCACAGGACATACAGCATGTTACTAAAAATACATTCTAGAAATTCTTAATATTACATTGTCCATGCAATAGTTTTTGATAGATAATATAACAATTGTAGCCTTTGGTTGAGGTCAATACGATGTTATATCGACCTAGAGAAGCATATTGACCTCAGACTTTGTCCTCAGTCAATATGCTTCTCTTAGGTCGATATAACCTCGTATCAACATCATACAAAGGCTATAATTGTATAATATATAATTGAGGTAAGCATTTCCCGTTTCTCACTGTTCTAAATATGATAATTTAAATGCTAATAAAACATGTTGTCACACATTTAAAAAACAGGAAACTTAGATTTGTTTGTTGATGTTACATCTTTATATTATTTAAAAAAAAAGGAGATGTGATATGATTGCCATTGAGACAACTAATCCAACATAGGTCAACGTACAGCCTTCAATAATGAGGGAACCCATATCGTATAGTCAGCTATAAAAAGCCCTGACATAAAAATATGAAACAATTCAAACAAGAAAACTAATGGCCGAATTTATAGAAATACAAATTCTGCTCTAATTCTTATATAATGTAGTACCTATTTGGTAAACCATAGAGGAAAGGAGAAAATATAAAGTAAACTTGTATTTGCCCTGTTTATTTGTACAATAAAAATAAGAAAAATGATATTAAAGAATAAACACTGAAAGAACCTCAGTATGACAAATTGGACTGCAAAATATTGAACAAAACAAAACTTGCACATTCTATAATTTTCAATCTATAATACCTAAAAGGTCACAATAATCATTTGTACAATTGCTATACTGACTAAAACAAATGTTCTGTAATCCTACAATTAAGGGCAGATAATATGTTTGGATTTGCATTATCTCCCTTTGAGTGTTGAAATTAAGTTTAGTGGGTATAAATCAAAACCCCTAACCCTTTTCTTTGGAAACAGGTAATCCAAAACTTGTTTTTAGTTGTACAAAAAAGAAAACATATCTTAATCATGACTTTTGTTACTCTCACTTTATTGATTTTTACCTATAATGTCTGTTTGTTTTGTTCACACATTGTTGTCAATATAATGGAATTTTATGCGACTGTCATACAAGTGAGAGGTTTAGCTAGCTATAAAACCAGGTTTAATCCACCATTTTCTACATACTGAAATGCCTGTACCAAGTCAGGAATATGTTGATTTCAATATTTTTGATGTGTTTGAGCTTTTGATTTTGCCATTTGATAAGGGACTTTCCGATTTGAATTTTCCTTAACAGAGTTTTATTTCAGGTTGGAATTATTTTTAATTATGTAATATTTTATAATTACCTGTGCTAATCATTTTGAATAAAAAGTATACATCAAATCTGTTCCTTCTGCATTATCATGGTTGTTTCATTTTTATGCCCCACCTATGATAGTAGTAGAAGCATTATGTTTTCTGGTCTGTGCATCCGTTTTTGTTCGGTCTGTCTGTCCGTCTGTCCTGCTTCAGGTTAAAGTTTTTGATGAAGTTGAAGTCCAATCAACTTGAAACTTAGTACCCATGTTCCTTATGATTTGATCTTTCTAATTTTAATGCCAAATTAGAGTTTTGACCTCAATTTCACGGTCCACTGAACATAGAAAATGATAGTGCGAGTGGGGCATCCGTGTACTATGGACACATTCTTGTTTTATATGCTTATTTGACCATGTTAGAGTTTGTTCAAGCCAGTAGTTTTTATATGACCGCAAATTTATTTGCATTCGTATTATGTTATGGTGTTGTCTGCGTCTGCATCTGAAGACATTTTGGTTTGCAGACAATATCTTGAGTATAAGTTCATGGATCTCTATGAAATTTTAACACAAGGTTCTATACCACTAAAGGATGGTTGGGTTAGTTTTTGGGGCTATTGTCCTAGCGGTTTTGTAAATAGGAGCCAAAAAAGGTCAGTTTTACTGATTCATGGAAAATAAATTGGTTTGCAGACAATAACTTTAATATAGGTAAAGAAAATTGAGAATGGAAATGGGGAATGTGTCAAAGAGACAACAACCCGACCAAAGTGTATGGATGTGTAAGAAATTTTAGCACAAGGTTCCATACCACACTTGGAAGGTTGGGATTGATTTTGGGGGTTATTATCTTAGCTGTTTTGTAATTAGGTGCCAGAAAGGGGACAAAAACAATAATTTGTCTGGTTTTAAGACAATAACTTGAGTATAAGAGATATTTCTCTTGTCAAAATTTTAGCACAAGGTTCCACACCACGATAGGAAGGTTGGGATTAATTTTGGGGGTTATTGTCATAGCTGTTACTACTAGCAGTTACTGACATGCCAGCTCCAGACCTCAATTAAACTGATTGAAAGATTATGTCTTCATCATATGAAAATCAATCCCTCCCGTAAGGGGTTTAGTATCATACCATCATAAAATATATGAGAAGAACATAACCCGTATCATGCCAATAACTGGTTTTAGAATAAATGTGTTTATTTCCGATGCAAAGACCCTATGAGTGAATCAATGTGAATACCAAAATATGCAATCCTTAATGTCTTGACAACAGTATCGTAACTATATCCTTTCCGAATAAGTCTGCTTAAAGGTTTGGATAGCTTTTGAGGTGAATGCCGACATTTTTGTGCTTTGTAAAGAATATTATCATAGAATATTGGATGTGAAATACCCGAACGTATAAGATGTCTGCAAGTTGATTTATATTTACGAATGATGTCCCTTGTACCAATAGTTGTTTTTTAGCCTCATTTAATTTCCGAGTATTCTCAATAATCAGGCCCAAATATTTATATTGCTTTACGTATTCTATGTCTTCTTATAATCTGAAAATTTTCTTGTAACAATCTACCGTTATTATTAAAAATAATTATTTTAGTTTCATTGGAGTTTACTTCCAGGCACCATTTATACAATATTCATGTAAAATATCAAGTTTGTTTTGAAGGTCTACCTTAGTTTCTGAAAAAATACCCAAATGTTGCTAAAAGGTACAAAGTCCTTTTTATAAACTTTACAGGACACGTTCGTTAAAATATTTTTGAAAAACGATTTTATCCGAAAAAAAATATATTAATGTAAACATTCATAAAATTGTCAATTATGTCCCAACAAATTTGTCAATTAAAACGGAAAAAGACTTAGAAATATCTGAATTTTTGTACTTAAGCAAACGTAAAATCATTTGTTTCTCGGAACAATGCTATACTGAGCAGAACCATTTACGACACTGTAGAGACAAAAGGTCAACAATTTTCATCATCTCTACCTATGTTAAAAGAAAGGAAGACAACATTTAAACGTAAGGGAAAATGCAAAAATTATGTCATCTTGTGTTTTTGAAATCAACCGTCCTTATACGGGATTCGAACCGTTACCCCCATTCATTGCATTGCTATCTGCATTGTGAGCAAGAGCCTTATCTCCACTGCTACCGGAGAGATCATCTTCAAATGGCAATTTAAGATATTTAAACTAAACATGGAAAATGATTGAAATATATGAAATAATTCAGTAAAATTTGAATAAAACAAGGGGGTCAGCACATGCAGATGTGCATAGCTTACAGCTTAAGGGTATAAGAATAGTAACTGGGTTTTATAGATCACAAGTCCGCTACCAATAATTATGCACACTTTAGAATTTTAGAATATTTTCGTTGTACTTTTTTGCATGGACTGGCTCATATAGGTGATATTGGCTAAAGTACCAATAGTAAATAAGTGATTTTGCCATAACTTTTTTTTTTAAATCAATATATCTTAGATGTGTTTTTTGCAAACCATATGTTTTGATAGATGCCAAATCCATTGGAAACGGCTTCAAATTATTGCTAAATCATTGGGAATATGGACTTTTTGCTGATTGGTGTGTGGTTGCTAAGGGTAGAATTTTAGTTGCTATGGATAATTGTTTTTTTTCTTCAGAATTCGCGTAAAATTATAACGTTCGACATAAAGTATTATGAGTATTTTCTATTTCCTATCTTTTCGGCAATTTTTTTTTTTTGTCACTTTGAAAATGATATGAGCCAGCCCATGCGAAAAGATACAAAAAGTCCTTTTTATAAACTTTACAGGACACGTTCGTTAAAATATTTTTGAAAAACGATTTTATCCGAAAAAAAATATATTAATGTAAACATTCATAAAATTGTCAATTATGTCCCAACAAATTTGTCAATTAAAACGGAAAAAGACGTAGAAATATCTGAATTTTTGTACTTAAGCAAGCGTAAAATCATTTGTTTCTCGGAACAATGCTATACTGAGCAGAACCATTTACGACACTATAGAGACAAAAGGTCAACAATTTTCATCATCTCTACCTATGTTAAAAGAAAGGAAGACAACATTTAAACGTAAGGGAAAATGCAAAAATTATGTCATCTTGTGTTTTTGAAATCAACCGTCCTTACACGGGATTCGAACCGTTACCCCCCTTTCATTGCATTGCTATCTGCATTGTGAGCGAGAGCCTTATCCCCACTGCTACCGGAAAAATCATCTTCAAATGGCAATTTAAGATATTTAAACTAAACATGGAAAATGATTGAAATATATGAAATAATTCAGTAAAATTTGAATAAAACAAGGGGGGTCAGCACATGCAGATGTGTATAGCTTACAGCTTAAGGGTATTAGGAATAGTAACTGGGTTTTATAGATCACAAGTCTGCTACCAATAATTATGCACACTTTAGAATTTTAGAATATTTTCGTTGTACTTTTTTGCATGGACTGGCTCATATAGGTGATATCGGCTAAAGTACCAATAGTAAATAAGTGATTTTGTCATAACTTTTTTTTTTAAATCAATATATCTTAGATGTGTTTTTTGCAAACTATATGTTTTGATAGATGCCAAATCCATTGGAAACGGCTTCAAATTATTGCTAAATCATTGGGAATATGGACTTTTTGCTGATTGGTGTGTGGTTGCTAAGTGTAGAATTTTAGTTGCTATGGATAA